ACTGTGGCATACACTTGATGACCATAACTTTTGCTTAATGACTTCTGCAAAGAAGTTGTACAATTGGGTGTGATCACATGATAACCCACTTAATAACTGGCATGACTTACAGCTGTAATTCTGGGCTCAGTTACAGTAGTAAGTCAAGGACTACCTATAAGCTAAAAAAATTGAAGTCATCAAATTAGGGTAGCCTATCATCCTTGCTTGATTTGGATTAGGGGATAGATGGGGAACTCATCAAATTTGCAAATGACATCAAACTGGCAGGAATAGACAACACTCCAGAAAATAGGCTTAAGATACAGAAGGATATTGACAGATTTGAACACTAGGCACTATCTAACAAAATGAAATTCAGTGGTGAAAAATGTAAGGTTCTACAAGAAAAATCAAATGCACAGGTACAGTATAGGTCAGTGATGGCGAACCTTTTAGAGTTCGAGTGCCCAAACTGCAACGCAAAACCCACTTACGCACCATCAGGTGCCGGGTGGGTGTGGCCCATTGGCTGGGTATGGCCAATTGGGTGGATGTGGCCCATTGGGTGGGCGTGGCTGCGGTCGTAATGGCAGACTGGATGGGACTAAAAAGTTCAATGAATCAATTCCAACTTTGCAAGATCTTTTTTTTCTCCGCGAGAAGTTGAAATTGACTGATTGATTGAACCTTTTTTTTGCACATGGCGGCGGAGGCCTAAAGCGAAAAGGTTTTATAAAACCCAGCTGAAGGCCTAGGACTGGGTGATGGCACATGTGCCCACAGAGAGAGCTCTGAGTGCTGCCTCTGGCACGTGTGCCATAGGTTCGCCACCACTGGTATAGGTGGTACCTGGCTCAATAGTAGTAACTGTGAGAGGGATCTTGGAGTCCTAGTGGACAATCACTTAAATATGAGCCTGTGGTGTGCTACAACCGCTGAAAAAGCCAAAGCAATCCTAAGCTGCATTATCAGAGGGATAGAATCAAGATCAGGTAAAGCAGGGGTGTCAAACTCACACTGTGACGTGTCGTGACGTATCGTGACTTTTTTTCCATTGCCGGCAAGGGGCTGGGTACGGTTTTGGCATGACACATCCGGCCCATGGGCCGGCAGTTTAACACCTCTGATGTAAAGTGTTAATACCACTTTATAATGCCTTGGTAAAATAACACTAGCTTTGGTTGCCACAATGTAAAAAAAGATGTTGAGATTCTAGAAAGAGTGCAGAGAAGAGCAGCAAAGATGATTAGAGGAGTCTAAAACAGAAAGAATGGTTGCTGGAATTGGATATGTCTACTTTAATGAAAACAAGGGCTAGAAATGACATGATAACAGTACTCCAATGCTTTACTGAAGGCTGGACAAGAGGCAAGGGATGGAAACTAATCAAGGAGAGAAGAATTAAGGAGAAATTTCCTGACAGTTAGAACAATTAATCAGTGGAACGACTTGCCTCCAGAAGTTGTGAATGCTCCAACACAGGAAGTTTTTAAGAAGAGATTGGACAACTATTTGTCTGACATGGTACAGGGTTTCCTGTCTGACCAAGGGGTTGGACTAGAAGACCTCCAAGCTCCCTTCCAACTCTCTTAACCAACTCTGTTAACTCTGTTAACTTGTATTGCTTAAAACATTCACATAGATTAGAATATACATATTAGAGACCAAACAAAATGCTGGAGAAATGGACTATAATCCTATGTGCAACAGAAGATGAAAGAATCAATCAAGGAAGTCTTCTAAAGATTAAGTGGGAGTGTCCAGATGCAAATGAGCTGAATATATGCCAAGCTCTGCTTTAAAAATTACATTAAATCAATTCTTTATGTAGTGCTAAGCATTTATTTATCATGTTTGCTGGTTGCTATCCATAAAATGGTAGATAATAAAGTGTTTAAAGTTTGGCTTAGTGCCAAAGGAAAGATTGGAAGTATTTAATTAAGGGGGGGGGAAAGACACTGCTAAAATGGTGACTGGGAATTGCAGTCTCAATACGTCTGGAGCAACCAGATTTGGGAACGCTATTCCAGATAATGGGGACAAAATAATTGTATCGATTTTATTGGGATATGAAAGACATTTTGTTCCACTTCCTTTCTTGCTGAAATCCTGCCCCCCCCCCAACTTCTATATTTCTTCCCAAGCCTCTGCAGTTTGCAATGTTTGTTTCATTCTTTATCTACAGCTGGTAACTCAAGCCAAGCAGAAGGGTGTGGATCATTTGTTATACTCTCTAAACCAGGAACAAGAGAAAATAAACAGGAGCTTGCTCAATCCAATCCTGCCTGAGTACGTGCAAGTGAGAAGTGGCTGGAGATCCCAAACATATCCCATGTGGGAATGAAAGAAAACAGGTTTGAACCACTCTCTGCAGGTTAAGGAGAAGCCAAAGCCCCATTCACACCTGAGTTGAAACACTGGCTACTTGCTCTTGAGAGTGTTCTCAGCATAGGAGATGGCCCACGTAAAGTTAACTATACATCAAAGAATGCTTTTGAGCAGGGGTCTTCAAACTTGGGAGTTGAAGTCCACAAGTCTTAAAGTTGCCAAGTTTGAAGACCCCTGCTTTTGAGCATGCAAAGTTTATCATGGACTGCCTCTCGCCTATTACATCCACTTGGCCCACAAGGATGGGAAGGAAGTGTATTTTATGGATCCCATTGATTAGGATTGTACTGTATATCTGGTGGGACACATACGAAAAATAGGCCTTCTTGGTGGTGACCCCTTCTCTGTAAAACATCATTCCCCCATACCCACCCACCCCAACATATGATTAGCCTCCAATGTGTTGCTTTTCCAAAAGGCCCTTAAAAACATGGATTTGTTAGCAGACTTGGGGACACGAATGGAGATGAAGCCGATCAAGGGCTGATTTGATTGTGTCCTTGCTGCCAGGTGAGGTGGGGAGAGATTTTTTTTACTGGTTTTTATTATGTGGTGAAGTTTTAAAATACTGTAAGTTGCCCAGAGTCACGTGTGAATTGGATGGTGATATAAATTTGTTTAACAAATAAACACACAAACAAACAAACAACATAAGTAATTTGTAAATTGCGAGGTAGGAGATAGGTTTCCAATCCAAACATGAGGACAATTCTTATGCTTTGGAATGTTTTCTTATAAGCAATAAAGTTCTGGACTAAATTTCATAAGGTTTGGATTTTTTTTAAATATAGTATAAGTAAGTCCTGGAATGAACATGATGTAAAATAGTAGTTCTTAGGGTGGGGGGTGTAATTATCCTGGGAGGTAATTTGGGCATATGCTGGGGGTAATGGAGCACTTTGTAGTTGTTTATTTGTGAGCTGAGGATCCAGTTTGGGACTGCTGCTGCACAGAAACTTACAGTAAAACAACCAGTTGTGCTTTTTTCCCAGGGGAATGATGTTGTTTGAGACCAGGAAAAGGGTAATTGTATCAATCATCCTTAGAAAGCGAGGGTTATACGTTTCTGCCTTATGTATGTCGTACAGGAGAACTCATTCAAACATATGAAATCCAAACCATCAGCCCAGTGATTTTGTGTGTGTGTGATATTTATCTCCCATTTTGCTTCCCTGCCTAATGTAGCCAGTTTTCCTGCTTGCTTCTGATCATGTTTCAATAACAAGTGATACGGTTTGAACTGGGGTGGGGGGATTTTTGTGGCTCAGGTCACTCCATTGGGGTGCAAAGGCCAAAGGGAGGAAAGATGTTTCTTTGACTTGGACTCAGATGGTTGTGTGAAGGTCAAGAAACTTATAGGCATTGTGAGAGAATAACATAAGTTGAAGCTTGTGATAAATCCTCGTGCCTTCTTCATGTACACACACATTAATCTACACCTTAGCACAGGGGTAGGCAACCTTGGCTCAGGAATTCTGGGAGTTGAAGTCCACGAGTCATAAAAGAGCCGAGGTTGCCTACCCCTGCCTTAGCAACTTTAAGGCCTGTGCACTTCACCCCCTAGAATTTCCCAGCCAACCATGATTGGACATCCTTGGTCTAATTCAGACTTCATCAACCATGACAACTTTAAAATAGGTGGACATCAACCCCCAGAATCCCAGCTCTGCTGGCTGGGGAATTCTGGGAGTTGAAGTCGACTTATCTTAAAATTACCAAAATTGAGAAATGCTGATCTAATTTAATATATTATTTCTGAATCTCATTAAATAACTGTTTTTAGAATATATTTGGGCTGATTAAACAAAACTGGTTCCATCTAATTACATGTGCTTGTGAGCAGGGCCTCGATGGCCTCTTTTACTGGTATCTGCTGAATTTAGCCTGATGGACAATGTTCATTTTTCATTCTTCATGCTTTATCAAGCCTTTGTTAAAGTCATTTCGCTGGCCATTGCTGGATCTTATGGCAGTGGGTTCTGCAGATTAATTTACATTTTTTTTGTCAAATGGACTTTTTTTGTAACTTGCTGATCGAACTTACTAACTGGCATATTAATATAATCTATATCCATTTTTTCCATTCTATTTCCCCACAACTTCCCTGTTTTAGAGTGACTTGAAATAGGAGAAGCAAATCCCCTGCAGCTAATCTGTTCCATTATCTTTACTATTTAATCTCCTCATTTTACCTTATTCATTAGTCTCTTGTGGAGTACTTCTGGTACAAACTAATGTTATGAAAATCCATTTCTAGCAGTTTGTGCAAACCAGACACAGATTTTCTCTCCACTCCAGAATGTTCACCACCGTTGCTGTTGGCCGTGTTCAGAGTTGAGCTCATATTTTTTAAACAAAAACTTGGCTTCTGTCAAGCCCCCAATGGTCTCTTGACTCTTGGCAGGGTTTTGAGCATAAAACAAGCAAAGCATTGTTTATGTTGCTGGGGCCGAGGGAGGAGAGAATATTGGAGAAAAGATAATAATGACAAAACTAACTTGTGGAGCAAAAGGAACAAAATGTTCACCAGAAGAGAAAGATAGATCTCTTTGGGACTCGCCAGTACAGCTCACTGTTCCCAGGAGAATGGAATTTGCCAACTCCCAAATAATTAAGTATGCAAGATTTGGTTGGTTTCTCAAACGGTTTTATTGGGGGGAAGAAAGAAAGAAACACAATGTAACTTCCTATATACACAGAATAAAAGAGGGCATCATGCTTACCCTCAGCTATGAATAATAAAATCCCATCCACCCACTCACATCCCATTGCCAGCAAGTGCTCTCTCTATATCATCTTGGAAAGATGGGGAAATGATTCTGAAGGACAAAAGTGTCCGGAGATGAACTTTATTTGGCTAGAGGGGCCACTGGCAGCTCTTTATCTCTCTTCCTTCCACCAGTTGCTGCCAACATGCAGTTGAAGGAGCAGTACCTTCATGGTTGGCTGTTCTTTATGATGGGAAGAGGGGATCTTGCCCTCATTCTAAAAGACTCAGAATGAGAAGAGGAAGAGTATCAGCCTTCTTGATTCCTCATTTAGGCAAATTCCTGTGCTCGGATGTACAAATGTGGCTGCCAAACTTCCTCACACAGCTGTTCCCCCTATCTCAAATTTGTTGCTTAGTGTGGAAAAGACTTGTGGGTAGTGTCCTCTCAACATATTTCACTTGGATACCGAATTAAACCATTTCTCTAAGCTCAATATGCATTGAATAATAAATTAAGCAATTGGGTTGGGTTTATGCAACACAATAGCCTCCCAAACTAACCATGATTCAAGCTAAGGACTCTTAGTATGTTGTGTAAATGCAGATAAAATTTTAGGGAAAGAGCATCCTCTGCCACTTGCCACCCATATCCGAGAATATTCAACAACTGTCCAGCCACCTCAAGTGCTGACATTGTCCTCATCTCGATGTCCAGCAAAATGATCATATTCTTCACCCATTGCTTGAAGGGTTCCCTTTCAGAAACCACAAATGGTTAGAAAACACAAGTGTCCAAAGTTGGAAGCCCGGCAAGGGGGGGGGGGAAGAATCCAACAGCACAGAAACCATCATTCAAAGAAGCAGTCTACTTGACACTTCCGTAGTTATACTAACCGTCTGCAATCATTTTGACCCCTTAAGCTGAGGGCTGAAGGTCAAGCTTGAGCAGAAGGGATGGGGTCTCTACAACCAGTGTCTGATGAAAGTCTGAGCATGTTTTATATCAGAGGCAAACAAAGAAAAATGGGGCCAGGCAAGTTCCTTCCCCCTCTTAGGAATTCCATGAGAAGCGAGTCATACAGACCATTGCTATACAAATTCTCACTGAATATGAGAATGAATCTTGGTAGAAGTTTTTTCGTCTTCTTGAGCAAGCAAAGGTGAATTTAACCCATCCTCGTAGGCATGCAACACTTACAACCATGGAGGTGTTCTGCCACTTCATACATAGTTCTTCTTGTCATAGCTCAACGCAGTAGACCTGGGTGCAGAGTAAACCATGGGTGTGGGTCTGTACTTCTCCTCCTTGGGGGGGCAGGAACAGCACAGCAAGCTTCCTCCAAAAAGAAAAAGGGCTGCTGCTGCCCAACCAATGTAAAGTGAAGGTCCTATTTCGCGTTTCAGGGCAGGTGGGACTGCTGGATTGTAGAAATCACGGATAATTTGATTGGCAGACCAGGAGACGGGGATGAGAGTCAGGATGCCAGTCAGCAGAAAGATGACCCCAGAAACGATGGTGATCTTGGCTTTTGTAGGTTCATCTTCAATGCAGCGAGTGCACTGTGCTCCCATCAGGAAAATGAATATCCCCATCACTGCAAGAACAATGGCAATGACAATTAAGGCCCGCGCAGCCTGTAGATCTGGTTGCAATGCCAGCATGGAATCATAGACCTTGCATTGCATCTGGCCAGTACTCTGAGCCACACAGTCCATCCATAGCCCTTCATAGGTGAACTGCGCAGTGACGATGTTGTAGCCGATGAAGGCAGTCACCTTCCACATAGGCAACCCGCAACACAAGATGGTGCCTATCATGCCCAGGAAAGATAGGGCTATACCACCAATCTCCAGACCCATCGACATGTTGGCGCAGTCAAATCAGCCACTACCTTCCAAACTCAATGCTGCTGGCTGCTGCTGTGTAGTCATGAGGTTTTGAGCAAAGCAGGTGAAGCACCCAAAGCTCTGAGCTGATTTATAAACTGTCCTGTCACCTGGGCGGGCTCTTTAGCTCAAGCATGGGTGGGGCGTCACCAACGGACTCTCAACCTGCCCTACCCTTGTACCATCCTCTCTCTTTTTTTCTTTGTTTGAGATGGCATTTATGAGAAATGAAAGTTTGCTGTAGAGGGCAAATGGGAAATTACCCTTGAACTAAATTCCAGCTGGTCATTTGGCGTGACCCTTGGTTTCGGAGCAGACTGGCAGGCAAAGAATTGGTAGTAAGAAAAAAAAAATGCCGTGTAGAGAGGCTTTTGATTCCCCTGGGTTTCCTTTGTTGGATTTCAACTTTGGGTTGGGTCTCCCAAGTCCAAATGAAGCATGTCTGCTGATATTCAACAAACTCTCTTTATACCATAATCCCCATATATACATCAGAATTTCTTGATATTTCATCACTTTTTGCTGATTTATTGAAGACATGTGTAGATTAGGCTAATGTCCTATAATAAGAATGGGGATGCACTTAATTAGCTAAGTTCTCCACCTCTGGGTGTGTTTTTTAACATGCTAATAATGAACTTTTTACCTCCAAGCCATTTCATGACACTCTTCCCCACAGTTTGAGCTAAGTGCTATGTTATCTTTTCTTTTTTCAATAATAGGCCCACTAGCAAAATCCTTCAGGACAGTTACAAAGCTACAGTCAGTTAGACTAGGTGTCCCCAACCTCTGTTCTGCTGCCCACTACCAGGCCACAGCCCATTTGGAAGAGGGCCACCCCAGTGGCGGCTGAGCATGTGTGCACACACAGCCCCACTCACACAAGCAGTGGGAGCTGGTGCTTGTGGCCCCACTTGCTCATTCGTGTGTGTGTGTGTGTGTGTGTGTGTGTGTGTGTTTATGCATGTATCTGTGCATATCAGTGAACTGCTCTGATAGGAGAGGCAACTGGAACTTTTACTACACTTTTCCTGTGTTTCCACCTCAAAATAAAAGTAAATGCTACTGTGTACAATTATAATCTAAGGTGCTACTGTATAAGGATGGTGGAAAAGAAACCTCAGCTTTCATATTCGTGCTTTAATGGAATACAAAAAGGGAACAGTTCAAGCAAATATTTTAACAGTGGATATATCAAGCTCCGAAGAGAAGAGCAGTAAGGGTAGAAATAGCATTTACCCCACTCTGTATACAGAATACAAAATAACAGAGTTGGCAGGGACATTGGAGATTTTCTAGTCCAGCCCCTTGCTCAAATAGACCTTATACCATTCTGGACAAATGGTTGTCCAGTCTCCTCTTAAAAACTTCCAATGTTGGAGCATCCACAACTTCTGGAGGCAAGCCTTTCCACTGATTAATTGTTCTCACTGATAGGAAATTTCTCCTTAATTCTAGGTTGAATCTCACTTTAGTAAGTTTCCATTCGTTACTTCTTATCTGCGGTCAAGTGTTTTGGAGAATAGTTGTCCCCCTCTTCTTTGTGACAGTCTCTCAAATACTGGATGACTACTATCATGTCATCCCTAGTCTTTCTCTTCATTAGACTAGACATACCCAGTTCACACAAGCATTCACTGTATGCTTTAGCCTTGGGTAATAGGCCCAAGACAGATCCAATATTTCTTGAAATCCCCAGGAACTCCTACCAGAAAAATACTTGGTTAGAAAGATACAACCGACTCAGGGTAGATCCCATATTTCCAGTTCACTCCAGCACCTCCTGAGAAGACAACATTGAGATCATGTCATTCAGAAACCATCTGCAGTCAGTAGCTAACACCACCTTGCCTGTATTTTTTGACTGCATCACAAATCACTGATTCAAGCCACGCTCCCTGACTTCCGTGCTGTATCTTAATACCTTGGAAGCAAACCCCTCCATTCACTTGTTGGTATCACATCTAATCTAGCAGTCAGAGGTCTAGCGGTAACATGGTGAAAAACTGGGCTTTTTTTTTTTTTTTAAACTTCAGTGACAGAACAGTGAAACAATGTTTTTAAGGTTTTAAATAAGTAAAATGGAATCCTCCAAGATCTGTCTTTGGTTTGACTGAGTGAAATTGACCGGAATTCTGCAACTTTCTCTTTTAGCTCCAGTGAAAGAAAAAATAGTAAAATATTTTTTTTCTTTTTTCCCCACCCATAAAGAGATTTCTTAGGCCATCTTCCTCTCTAGTTGGTTTACACACAGGAAACAATCAGCCAATAATGCAGTTTAGTAAAGCCATCAATCTACAAAGTAGTTTTGCAGTAAAGTTGTCTGACATTATTGGAGACAGCAAGTTGAAGCAGATGACTTTGAGCAGTTCTCAACAAATCTCTTTTTACTGCTTTCTGTTCTGCAGTTTATTTAAGGCTTGGTGACCTTTGAGCCAAGCTTGTTGAATAAACTATCCTGAAGAAAGTCAGTTTGTTTGAACTTGTATTTAACCTATCCTTGAGAACATACTCTCAAATAGCTCCTGGTCCACAATCTAATTAGCACACAGTGCTTTCCAACTTGTTTATATCTAAATATGACAAACTGCGAAAATAGCAGATCAGTGGCCAGGCTGAAGCTGTACCTTATTCTCCATCGCAACACAGATAGAAAGCCAAAAAGCAATCTTGCCATCTCACGAAGAAGGAATTAGGGCCAAGAATTATGCACATCGGTGCCAAAAATCAGTTACTGTATGCATAAAATGAATGGGATCAGAGCTTTTCTGATGAGGAAAGAGATCTTGAAGTAACAGTAAACAGTTCAATTACGGTGTCAACACTGTGTGCAACCACTCTAAAAAAGACCAACAGCTTGTTAGGGATAATAAGAAATGGAATTGAAAACAGAGATGTCAGTTTCATAATCTCTTATATAAATCAATAGTAAGACCACATCTGGAATATTGCGTGCAATTCTGGTCACTGTGCCTAAAAAAGGGGATCTAGAGAAGGTTCAGAAGAAGGCAGCTCAAGACTATCAAGAAGCTGGAAATGCTTCCCTAAGAGAACAGATTGTGACATTTGGGGCATTTTCATCTACAAAACATACAAATGAGAAAGGACACAAGAAAGATGTACAAATATTTGTATAGCGTGGATAAAATGGACAAAAATAAGCTCTGTTTCCTTTCCCAAAATATTAGAACCAGAGGCTGCCTAATGAAATTGAATCGTGGAAGAATCTGGACAGACAAAAGGAAATAGTTTTGTACACAACATATAATTCAAGTTTGGAATTCGCTACCCAGAGAAGTGGCTTCAAAAAAAGGGTTGGACCAGTTCATAGAAGTCATGGAGATCAATGGCTATTAGCCTTGATGGCAGTGGAACTGCTTTTGAAAGCCAATTGCTGGGAAACCAGGGAACTTTCTTGTGAGGTTGGCAACTGAAAACAGACAGTTGGACTAGATGGGCCAGGAGTCTGGCCTGAGGGACATAACTTATGTTCTTATGCTCATGTTCTTATATTAAATTTATGGAATGCCAACTGGGGCATGATGAAAAACACCCACATATACATTACAAAAAATAATAATAATCTTTCCAGCTTTCCAGCAGTTAGGGTTGTACTTTTTTCTTTCCCTTTCCCTTTTCTTTTCCCTGGGAGTCAAGGGCTGTATTGGATTGGGTAGTGACATAATGATGACATTATAGAGATGGGATTTATGATTTCCCACATTTCTGTTTTTGTTTTGAATATTTTTCTCTGTATGCAAACTGTAACCGATGCTTAATACTCATTACTCTTTGAAAATCAGTGAGCAGCTGTGCTGGTGTTCAGTGACACAATTTGGATAAGGCAGCAGTGTTCACAGGGGGATGGCCAAAATAGGTGACATGGGGTTAATAGGCAAACTTTCCCTTTTTGTATGTGCATTGTATGGATGTACCAAAGAGGCGGAGTTTGCACTGTATTTCCACATCCGCCATCTTGCTGCTTTGACCGCATCCCCTCTGGATCTGGCAGGATCCACGTGTCTCCAGGAGCAATTAGAATCATGCAGTTCCTGAATTAATCCATAGTCTGGATTAATTAATACACTGAATCATCAAATGAGCTGGGTTTTTCACACACAAAAAAACATCATCCAGGATTAGTATGTTTGCAAATGTATCTGCTTGTCTTCCTTGACCTGGCTTTGTGTGTTGTGTGAACAGTGCCAGTATATTACTTTATTTTCTTTCTTTTATGGTATTCTAAACTGGGCTTGGACTAAAATGGCTGTGCTGTTGGAGTCTGGCCACATCTGATATCTCACTCTGCCCTGTTGATATACGGTTTCACTTTGTTGTTTTTCAGTCTGAGTTATTGAGAAATCTCTATCTCTCTTTTTGTTTATGTCTCTCCTGTTTCCTCATATTTGAGAGGTGACTTCAGAAATTTATGATTCTTGCTTTCTGGGTTTCAGGTTTCTTCAGAACTCTGTGGGGATCTACAAATGTAAATACTGTGTTTGCCATGTTTTTATTAAGATGCTAATTTCTTGGAACTGAAGCTTGGAACTATGATGAAGCTGGGGCAGAAAATATTTGTTTGTGTGCGTATGTGTGAAGAGAGACAGAAAGACAGACAAACAGAGAGAATGGTACAATGATACATTTTATAACTCCAGGACAGGCAAGGGGGGACATGATAGCAGTATTCCAATATCTCAGGGGCTGCTATAAAGAAGAGGGAATTAAGCTATTTTCCAAAGCACCTGAAGGCAGGACAAGAAGCAACAGGTGGAAACTAATCAAGGAGAGAAGCAACCTAGCACTAAGGAGAAACTTCCTGACAGTGAGAACAATTAATCAGTGGAACAGCCTGCTTCCAGAAGCAGTAAATGCTCCAACACTGGAAGTTTTTAAGAAGAGACTGGACAGCCATTTGTCCGAAATGGTGTAGGGTTTCCTGCCTGAGCAGGGGGTTGGACTAGATGACCTCCAAGGTCCCTTCCAACTTTACTACTATTACTACTATTACTAATTTAACGCTTTTTCTCAACCCCCAAGCCTTTTTATGTTCCCTCTCAAGCTCTCTGAAGTGTATGTACTAGGTGGGGCAGTAATTAATGTAGTTTCCCATCAAGTTGAGGCCATGAAAACTATATTTTAAGCCTTAAAATAGGCTTACAAGTTTTTTAAAATCAGGAAATCCTACCCCTACTTGCAATGTGCTTCCATTCATTCAGTTTCTGCCCTGCTCATTGCAGCCCAGCCCCTCCTCACATTAATGCACCAAAGAATTGCCCACATACTCTGCAATGCAAACCTAGCTGCTTCATGTATGGATTTGTGTTCTGATTAATTATCTTGTCATCAGGAATATATTCTGTAAGATAAAGAATGTCCGCAGGGGCTTTTTTTAAAATGCACTATCATGACTGCCATCTCGGCTTTTTTGACCATATGGGGACTTTTGTATAAGATCTATTGCAGGCAAATAAGTGTGTGGTCTTGGCTGTAGGGAAACCACGTGGCAAAAAAGAGTTGTATCAAAGTATGACTGGAAGGCAGCAGGTACATATGTTTGTGCATCTATTGCAGTTTAACTAAGGAAACTTTCTTCCTTTAGTACAGTGGCTCTCATCCCTGACCACCTGAAGGTGTGTGGGCTTCAGTTCCTGGAATTCACCAGCCAGAATAGTGGCCAAGGTTGACAAACACTACTTTAGTACATAGCATCCTGTTACTTAGAAACATTGTAGGAAAAAGAGGGTAAACATTCCACCCAGGTGCAAAGATATGAGGCAAGGCATACATTTTGACTGCCTTCTACTCCATGCTTTGTGTCAGGTGGCAGAACCATGACTATGAGAGTGCTCAACACTCAGTGTCATTCTGGACCTTTCCCTACTGTGGAATTGAAGTCTTAGAACACAGACAGACAGACAGACAGCCACATTAAGATGCTTCTCTCCAAGCTATAGCCCAGCATCAACTATGCTGTCATGCTGGATGCTGTGTTATCGCTGAATAACAAGTCCAACAAGCAGGAGTGACCTTGTCCTTTTCAACAGGGACAAGTGAAGGAAAGTGATGGGTATTCCTCTGCCTTCATTTCTCCTCCCACTGAGTGAAAGCAACACTGTCACTCTCCCTAATCAATAGCAAGAGAGGGGAGTATAAGTGATGGGTTTAAATGGCAAGTTTAGCCAGCTGTGGACTGACTAAGAGGCGACAGCTGTGATGCTTGGGAAAGAGTGCCAAATACATGTTGAGAAATTGACCTGGCAGATAAATCTGCAGCATCATCTACACTAAGTAATACCAGCCTGGCCTGATTGATCTGATCCAACAGCGGAACAGCTTCCTGATGGAGATCAGGCTGCTGATATTCAGGGTTGATATTGAATATCATGATATTGATACTGATATTTGGCCTTTTCCTGATGTTTATCAACTTCTGTTTTTATTGTTTGCATTTTTATGTTTGGAGGCTGATTGTTTCTATTATTTGTATGGGATTTTATACCATGGATGTTCAATCAATCAGTTTTATATTCTATGTGATCCCCCAAGAGTCTTATCAATCAATCAATCAATCAGAATAGAACTGGAAGGTACTTTGGAGGTCTTCTAGTCCACCCCCCCCTTGCTTAAGCAGAAGACCCTATACCATTTCAGACTTGTGGCTGTCCAGTCTCTTCTTACAAACTTCCAGTGTTGGAGCACCCACAACTTTGGAGGCAAGCTGTTCCACTGGTTAATTGTTTTCACTGTTAGGAAGCTTCTCCTTAATTTCAAGTTGCTTCTCTCCTTAATTCGTTTCCATCCATTGTTTCTTGTCTTGCCTTCTGATGCTTTGGAAAATAAGTTGACCCCCTCTTTTTTGTAGCAGCTCCTCTAATTTTGATTGCAGTGGGGCAGAAATGAGCAAAAATAAATGGCAGATGCAGCGGAAGTGCAGAGGAATGGGGTGAATTGGGAGAGAATCTCCCTGTTAGCATATTGGGAGAGTTCCCTCCTATTTCATCCCCTGGCTCTTCTCTGGTTCTGGGACCTCTCAGCTGGGCTAATGGAAAGGTATGGGGCAGTGAAGTGGGAAGGAAGAATCAATAATAAGCAAGCACTATTCTCAACTACTTCTCCAACGGTATATCAGGGCTAGCTGGGATCATCTGTGGCCAGTGGCACTTGGAATGAGTAAAATTGCATCTCCACAAATACTAAAAATAGAAAACAAAGCCAGCCCCACACATCCCCTTTTCAACAGAAACATAATGTTGTCATATGTAACAACATTAGCAACACACCAAATGTGACTCTCTTTCAGGGATGTCTGTGGGAAGGAGGGTCAAAAAAGTCAAGAGGGCAGCCAAAACCATGCAATCAAAATCTTGTCCTTTTTTTTTTACATGTGTTGACAAGTAACATATGTTGTTTAATAAAATTCCCTTGTGCTACCAGATTTTTTCTGAGTTTTTGCTACCATAGACCACTGTTTTTCAAACTTGGCAATTTAAGGTGTGAACTTCAACTCCCAGAATTCCCTGGCCAGCATGCTGTACAGGTAGTCTTGCTTTTATGACCATAATTGAGCCTGGAATTATGGTCATGAGTCAAGCCAATCATTAAGAAAGTCACCATGTTGCCACACCCGATTTTACAACTTTTTAAGACAGTCATTAAGCAAATACTGTGGCCATTAAGCAAATCCAGTGTACCCAATGGCTATTTTCTTGCTGGAAACCAGAGCAAATACCAGTTTCAGACAAAAAAATGCAAATAACAAATAACAAATCGCAGTTGTGTGACCATGGGAAATAGCCATAAATGTGGGCCACTTGCTAAATACCCAAAATGTGATTGTGTGACTGTGATGGTGGGTTATTGGAATTTCGAAATCGGGTTGTGGCTGTTTTGGAGATTTGTCATAATTTCAAACAGTCACTAAATGACTAATTGTAATTTGAGGACTATCTGTAACAGGCTCATTCTTTATAATGCTTGCTGATTGAAACTGACCTTCTGTGCAGTGGAGGACTGTTCTTTCACAAAGAGGGCTAAACTTTTTCATCCATGTAGGACAAGGAGAAGCACTTCAGAAAGGCATGACAAGAAGCAATGGATGGAAACTAATCAAGGAGAGAAGCAACCTAGAACTAAGGAGAAACTTCCTGACAGTTAGAACAATTAACCAGTGGAACAACCTGCCTCCAGAAGCGGTGAAAGCGGTGAAACTCTTGCAGAAGTTTGATATCCAGTTTTTCTTATGGCTCAAAACAAAGCACAGTAAACAATAACCAGAGTGAGCCATGTGTTTGCAGCAGCTTAAAGTGACCCATAAGAACAAACCCCAGACATGTCATCAATCACATTGTTAATGAAATGTCCTAAGTGTTTTAAACTACTACTCTTGTTTTATCCTAGGTTTTAGAGATGGAAAAGAAAAAATGATTTTATTATGTCTTCAGCAACAATAATTTAATTTCATGTATTAGATTTATATGGCTGCTTACTTCAGAAGACTGTATGAAAACATCACAGGGGAATCCATAGTGCTCCCTGAGCATGGTTGTTTGCTTGCAGATGTTTCTTTACCGAACTACATAACATCATCGGTATGACAGTGTTGTGCAGATGAAGTTATTCAGTCAGGTAATGGAATGTCTGCAAGCAACAACTAATCTCAGAGAGCATCAAGAATACCACAGTTCAATCCTGAGCTACAGACATTTTCCTCTATTGGATACCACAAGGAACCCACCAATACATCAGTGAACACATTAACTCCAGACTTAGAAACAAAGCCAGGGCTTAAGAGCTTTCTGAAATTCCAGAAGAATAAGTGCCCTCCATACCTGGGGGGGGGGGGAGGGAGAATGCTGTTCCAGAGAGCAGGGATCCTGGCAGAGAGGGCATTTTCTTTGATCCCACAAGATGCCAGTATAGAACTGAGGGGATGTGGAGTGCACCCACTCTGCCCAAATGTACCAGGCAGACAGAAACCATTAGAGAATAGCATCAGAAGAACAGGTAATTACTACTTTAAAACTAGATTAGTAAAGTTGACTTTAAGCTGCCTTAACTGCAGGTTGCCTATGAGACGCAATAAGGTGAGTTATCAAGACTTAATATAGCATTATCTGAAACTGAGAATTAATTCAATAGAAAATTAAACCAGAGTGAAATTTGCAGTCCTCATTGCTACGGTAGTCCCAATCCTGCCTGTTCCAAATCACTGTACTCCTCCAAGGTTATGAGTGACAGAGCCTAACTGATTTTACAACAGATCTGTGCTCAGATGACAAAAAACAATCAGCAGATGAAGGTAACAATGTGAGCGGGGATGTGGTGTAAAAAAAACCAATTTGGCAGGTTAGGCTTGTGATTAGGTGCACGTGGTAAATTCTGCTTAGCTTTGGAATCAGGCAAAATTGGCTAGGTGCTGCCATTATCCAGGATAATTTATTTCATAAGAGGGATCAAAGAAAAGATTATATCAATGGTTATTAATCTTTATGTATAGGGCCTGTCTATTTCTGATTAGAGTAAAAGGCTGGAGAGAAAATGAAAGAGACCAGTAATCACTTTCTGATCCAGTTGCGGAGGTTGCAAACCTGATGATAAAATCTACATTCCATTTTCAATGAATCTTGGTTTAATGCAGATTAGTAAGAAAAACAACAGCAGTGTAATTAATACAGAATTCAATTTTGCTTGCTAGCAAAGGAAAGGTATCTCAAGATTGCTGCCAGATATAAGGTACTTGGAGATCAGTCTGGTGATGGCAGAAATGTCTATGTATGCCAGAATGAGCACATCACGAGATTAACCATTACAGTGCTGAACAGGAGAAGATTCAGAGGAGATTATTCTGAATTGTCCATGTACTTGAATGCGCAAACATTGCTTCTTACAGAGTCAGTGGTCCTACCATATCTATCCCCTTCTAGCATCCTTTTTGTTCTATCTTATACACTTGGCCTGGATCTCTGTAGCTTTCCAGAATGTCTTCCCCGCCTCCCCTGGCCACCTGCCCAGCCCAGCCTTCCCTCTCAAGGTACTTGTCCTGTGACTTTATTTGATGCACAAGGACCCTTGACAGCTCCCCCATTCCTTCTTCCTTCGGTCTGCCATTTCCTTGGATTGCTCAATTGCTCCCTGGCAGGCACACAAACTCCACAGGTGAGTGATTCTCCCCTTCCTTTGCTCCCACCTGCCCAGCTAAGCAGAGGCTGGCTGAACATTGAGATGTTCACTAGATAAAGTCCTTTCTTTGGGCCCAATTAATGTGCTCCAAATTGCAGCAGTGTGGGATCATGTCTCGGGGAAACTAGATTCCCTTGTGAGTCAAATGAAGTTCCCAAGAAGTAGGCTGAAGTTCCACTTGTAAAAAACATATACATGCCTTCATGACTTATTCTCATTTCCCCGATTTCAATATTTCCCTGCCGGGTTTTTTGTTTGTCCATTAAGTTTGCCAGACCTGAGCTGTACTACAAATCCATTTTCCTGACTGTAATTGGATTTTCACACAGCTCCCAAACTGAAGCAGCTTTCTTTATAAGGATGTTATTTATCAATGGAATTCTTTGATTGTTTGCAAAGAGTATTTTGAGGGGCAGGTAATTAACAGCTGGGATCTAAAGGTTTGCCCTTTTCAGAATATCGTTCTTTATATATTTAACTAATGTATTCTGTGAAAGTGGATTTTTCTAATTCACTGCATGTGTACAAAATGGAGGAATTGGCTGACTTGGGAGAATGCCAGTGTTTACAGATTAAGAAATATTCTAGATGGGAGATTCAGGCAAAGAATTGGGCAGGCTCACAGGCCCCAGAATATTTATTGGCTATTCAAGAGAAACAAATGTACCACAATATGTTTGTTTGTTTGTTTGTTTGTGTGAGGGAGGGAGGGAAGGAGGGAGGGAGCGAGAGAAATAATGCATTTTGGAAAAGGACACACCTTAGAACACTGAGTAGTGGATTTACATCCATGCTCCTAAAAGATGGTTTGGAATATTAGCATATTTGTAGGGAAACCCACAGTTTTCAAAAGCCAGTCAGTGGGTGGGTGGGTAGAATAATCCAGTACTATCATTTTTTAAGAGACAATCATCACCATCAACAACAATATTACAGCAATTTTATGAAAACTGAATATGCTCAGAGAACAAGCAATGGAGTATTATCGAAAAAGTTGGACCGTTTAACAAATGATTTTGTGCAACGTTTTGTTCCAAATCCCACTTCTTCAATAGAATATACTCTTTAGCAAGAAATCGTTTTCACTTCTGGTAAAGAAATAGTATTACATTCTTGCAATGTACACATGGGGAATTGTTCCAGATTGCTGGTAGGAACCATTGTCCAAATTCAGTCTCAGCAATGTTAAATGAGTGAATTTCCTTACATACCCACCCATTCTGTTGCATGTCAACCACCCGATTGTATTAAAATGGGTGAGATGTTCCTGGTTGCTACCTTGAACTTCTCCTTTTGCATGTGAAAAAGAATTTTATGTCTCTTGCGGCAGGAGTAGGATCCTCCTGTTATGCTGATTAATTCTGTGACAAAAATAGTCTGGCACACATTTCAGAAGAAACTCGGAGAATATCTCATTGCCAGCTCATGTTGTATATGAGCTTGAAGTTTGAACTTCACTTTGGTGAAGTATCTTAACACCCAGTGAAACTCTTAAATGAATGAGTCAACAGGTGAGTCAGACCGTGATTATCTACTGCCTGTACTTTTTAAATCTATCCCTATCTAAATTTGGTATGGGAGTACACATGATACTCTGAATGTAAACATGAAACTTTACTGATCCTGTAGAAATACTGTATATGGTTTATACAGGATACAGGAACACCGCAAGCTTAACTTAGATTCTAACTGATAATGGTAGATTAACATTGTCTGGTCTCAGAAAGCTAAGCAGAGTTATACCTTAGATGTAGTCCTTGACTTACAGCCATTCATTTAATGACTGTTTGAAGTTACAACAGTGCTAGAAAACCGTGCTGCAGCTGCCAAAAAGCCAACACAGTGCTAGGCTGCATTAACAGAGGGATAGAATCAAGATCACGTGAAGTGTTAATACCACTTTACAATGCCTTGGTAAAGCCACACTTGGAATACTGCATCCAGTTTTGATCACCACAATGTAAAAAAGATTTTGAGACTCTAGAAAGAGTACAGAGAAGAGCAACAAAGATGATTAGGGGACCGGACGCTAAAACACGTATGGAACGGTTGCTGGAATTGGGTATGTCTAGTTTAATGAAGAGAAGGACGAGGGGTGACATGATAGCAGTGTTCCAATATCTCAGGGACTGCCACAAAGAAGAGGGAGTCAAGCTATTCTCTAAAGCACCTGAAGGCAGGACAAGAAGCAAGGGATGGAAACTTACCAAAGAGAGAAGCAACCTAGAACTAAGGAGAAATTTCCTGACAGAACAATTAATCAGTGGAACAACCTGCCTCCAGAAGCTGTGAATGCTCCAACACTGGAAGTTTTTAAGAAGAGACTGGATAGCCATTTGTCTGAAATGGTATAAAGTTTCCTGCCTGAGCAGGTGGTTGGACTAGATGACCTCCAAGGTCCCTTCCAACATTATTGTTGTTGTTGTTGTTATAAAATAACCTATCACCAGTCTTCACACATATGAATCATTGCAGGGTTCAAAGTGACAATAAAGTTATTATTCAATTCCTATCGTCACATGATTCAAATTTGAGCATTTGGCAACTGGCATGTATTTATGACAGTTGCAGTATCAGTGGTCACATGATCACCATTTTTGATCTTCCCAGTGGGATTCTGATAAGCAAAATCAATGGGGGAAGCAGGATTGGTTGTCCTGAGACTTAATGGAGCTTGAAATGCTGTTCAGGATTCTTTAAATGTTAAATATAGGTGGAAATATAAAATCCATTGTTATTTATAGAGCATCATTAACCTAAAAGGTACACCATAGACTAAAGTATGACCTAAGGAAAATACAACTACAGGTGGGAATAAACGTAAAAACAAAAGGGATAAAAATAAATAAAAATAAACCATTGAAGGTAGCAGTAGGAACCTTTTTGGGATTAGAGGGACATTTAATGTTTTGAAAACTTCACCAGAGGGAACAGTAGTATCGTATTACAAGGTTACCTAATCAATTTTGTAAAATCATGTAGAACTTAGAAAGCTGCAATATGTGGCAACCCTACATAAATTTCCTTTGCAAGGCATCTTACTCCTCAGCATATGCGCAAGCAAGGTTAAATTGCCAGGCACGTAGCACAACTTCATGCTTTGGTAAGACCCTTATTTTTTTTATTGTATACTATAAAAACTTTCCTGTGCCCAAAGGAAGTTTTGAAGCACATACAGTATCAGATGCTTCCAACAGAAGGAGAAAAGTAATAAACTCTTTCGGGTTTCCCCTTATTTAGAAAACAAGAAGAGTCATACTGTTCCAATAACACAGAAGGGTAATTTACTTGCTCTCTGTTACCTTTGGTAAGCTATGACCAATCTGTTGTGACTTCTCTTTTCCAAGCCAGGGCTCCTCCCCAAAAAGATGACACTCTCTACTGACTTACCTTGATGATTGTGAAACTATTATTCAATAGTCTGTACTCCTTAGGATATGATGTAATGTGAGGGAACTTATATGAGATCTGTGTTGCCCTGACATAGAATCATAAAGTTAGAAATGACCTAAGGGATTCAACTGCATGCAGACCACATGATTCAGTGATGACTATTTAGCCTACTGATGGCTAACCCATGACACACATGTCTAAAGTGACGCACCACAAAATTTTGGGTGATACACCAGCATTCACCAACCCCCGAGGACAACTATTCTCAAAAGCGTGCCATGATCTTGTGCAATTTTTACTGAGCATAGTGAGAAAGGGATGTGCCCTCACATGGCCTCCAGATGTTGTACAAGAAAGTTACATTTTCGTTTGGCCTCTGGAACTCCCAAAAGTCGTGCAAGAATGGGGTGTGTGCGTATGTTTTCGTGTGATTTTTGGAGACTGCAGAGGCTGGAAAAGAGTCCTTGCAGGCATGACAATGTCTGTGAATATACATATCAGATTTAGCAGTTAAATCATTTTTGTTTAACCAGGCTTTGAATACTGTAAACCAAATATGGCTGGGCTCATGCAACGTGCTAACCTAAACAACTGGCAGCCTTCAAACCAAATACAAGCTTCAGGAACTCTGTCTAAGGCAATGTTTTTCAAGCTTGGCAATTCTAAGATGTGTACACTTCAACTCCCAAAATACTGCCCGGGGAATTCTGGGAGTTGATGTTCACACATCGTAAAGTTGTCAAATTTGAAAAACACTGATCTAAGGCCCTTGTTGCTCCCCAGGAATGAACAGGGCTAAAATATTCAGAATTGTGTTTGTTTGGTTTAACTGGTTGGCAATGGTCATTTTTGAGGGATCAATAATATTATTGCAGATGCCATTTTGACCTTTTTCGCACTGTCAGAAGCTCCTCAACATAGCCCTGGCCTGTCTGTACTCATTTTGGGGTGCAGCTGGAACATACTGCACAATACTTGTTGAAGTCCTTGAACTGTTGGGTAGAAGTTGCATTCCCTGTTCTTATTGGTGGAAAAGCCTAGTTAAAATATGAAGTCAGAGTCACCCTGAAGTGCTGCTTATGGTCAACGCCAAATGAACTTAGGAATGGCTTGAAGGGCCCTCCTTCTGAAATTCCATGTTCTCATTGCTAAACATCAAATTGCTGTTGTAATCATTCTTTAGAAGCCTATTATGCCTTTCTGTCTGACAAGGATGCTCAAGGCAGTTAGCACCAAAAGAAAAGAGCATTAAAACTAGTGCAATTAAAGTAATTATACAAATAGAAAGTAAATAAAATCCATATTAAAATGTTATAAGCTGTGTTTTGATTTTCCTATGATGTTTGACATATGCATGCAGCTTGCAGATTGGGACTTTCTAGAACGAATAATAAAATCTGCCCTGTTAGGACATCAGCAAGAGGAAAAGGATAGATTTTTTTTCAATCAATCAGAATAGAGCTGGAAGAGACCTTGGAGGTCTTCTAGTCCAACCCCCTGCTCAAGCAGGAGACCTTATACCATTTCAGATAGGTGGCTGTCCAATCTCTTCCTAAAAACTTCCAGTGATGAAGCATCTACAACTTCGGAAAGCAAGCTGTTTCACTGGTTAATTGTCCTCACTGTTGGAAGTTTCTCTTTAATTCCAGGTTAAAACAAATTTACATGGATATGGTAGCATAAAAGGAAGAAAACTGGAGTGGTGGAAACAAGGGTGGGGAAGTACAATCACTCAATTACAGAGAAGCCCATTAACCATCACACACTCCTTAGAACGGGGTTTCCAAACTCGGCAACTTTAAGACTTGTGGATTTTAACTCCCAGAATTCCTCAGCCAGCATGCCTTAGAAGCAGGATTCTGATTGGAAATGGCCCGTGCCAATCTTTCCTGGCATTTTGGTGAAAGATAAAGGATAAAGAGGAACCAGTCTTTTTCTGTCCCAAAGGTGCTTTTTCACGAGGCAACTAAACTTTCCTATTTCTTTTTGAAGACGTTTCGCTTCTCATCATTTGGGACAACCATGACCTGGATGCAGTGGTGGGATTCAGCCAGTTCGCACCAGTTCAGTAGAACCGGTAGCTAATCTTTTGTTGCCCAGGCCCAGAATGGACTTCCAGAAGTGGCATGCACACAAAGAACTGGTTATTCACATTTTTGAATCCCACTACTGCCTGGATGACTGAGAATCTCCATAGACCAGGGGTGTCAAACTGCCGGGCCGCGGGCCGGATGCATCATGGCAAAACCGTGCCGGCAATGGAAAAAAAGTTGCGATATGTTGCGACATGTCATGTGACATTGCAAGTTTGACACCCCTGCCATAGACAGTCTTTTTCTGCCTTTCCCTGCTTGGGAGGTAGGAGGGATCGGCGAGTCACCTGCTTATACTTCACATTCCTATCCTGAAGTCTGATACCTATCATGCCAGGAACAACTGCCACTCTACATTCCTGAAATGAATACAGTATATTTGTTATTTCAGATAAGGGTCCCAAACATGCAACTGGTTTTGTTTGGTTTCTATTAGAGAGCAGCAAACAATAAGCTAAAATGCTCATTTTATTTTGGCTCATAGTAGGTCCATGGCCGATAACTTAACTTGGGGCTCAAATGCTTTGTCTTTTCACTTTGTCCATTGATCCCAGATCAGAGTTTTTCAACCTTGGCAACTTTAAGAAGAGTAGCCAATGGGGTCAGGGGCACATGACATGGATTTTGTAATTTGTTAATTAACATACTTTGTATTTTAATTTGATTTATTTTTTCTTTTAAAATGATGTTCAGGCTCATTACAGACTGGAATGTAGCAATAGCTTTTAACATTCCTAACTGAAAATATAAACTGGCTGGAGACTAATTCCAGATAAGAAAAAGTTTGTGAGTACAAATTGGAGTCTGGTTTATCTTTTTTGTGAACTCTAAACAACCTTTTTCCTTACAATTTATACTCCTTCTGGTGTCAGACCTTATTTTAATCAACATGTGTGATATTATGGGATGCAAATATGTAACATGTTTGACTACGTGTAACTGATTTCCTATGCAAAGGGGAGGTTACTTTTATTCTGTCCAATCATCTTTCTTCTCGCATTTTCTTTGTTGTGTTAACTATAGAAAGGAATATAAGTTGGGTCTTGGGGTTCTCCCTTTTCATAGAGAGATCCCACTTTATCAGGGTACCCTAATAAACTGCTTTTAAATAATTTTCCGACTCAGTTGCTTATTGGGAAAGTAAACCGAGGCAGAACTTAGGGCCAGATTTGCCTATCAGAGGACAGTTGGATTCACTTAATGACTGAGGCAAAAAAGGTCATAAAATCAGGTCCAACTCACATAATGACCACATTGCTTAGCAACAGAAGTTCTGGTCCCAGTTGTGGTTATAACTCAAGGACTCCTGTATGTCCACCAGCTCTTTGGGTCATTGTCTGTTCTTGCCATTAGATTTTTTTTAGAGTTGAATAGTGCTTTGATTCCAAATTTTCCTGTGATGAACTGGGGACTCTTGCCCTGTGTGGGGGAATTGGACTAAAATATCTTTTGCTCGTTCTAGGTTGCCACATGAATGGGAGGGGAAAGCAGAGGTTTTATGCTAGTCTAAACAATTTTCTGTTCCGTAGGAACCAAGGTCATTTCTGCCAGTTAGAATGGCTGAGCATTCTGTTAGAAAGCCTACTGAACTATTCTATTGGGAAACATAGTTGATTGCATAGTACTGGGGTGGGAAGTTTAACTTCATAATACTGTAACTCTTAGGAGGGAATTTCAGACTTGGTTTCACTTTTGATCGTGCCCATACTTTGTAGCTAATGAATATGTTCTTTGAGGAAGCCTCTAGCCTTGAAGTTCTGATTTATCTGGTCTCTTCTATCTTTTGCCTTGGGGTCCTGAGCCCCAGTCGCCTACTCATTACTTTTGAGAGGACAGCAAAGACTCGGGGAAGAAGCCAAGATGGAGAAGAAGGGAGAATTGACTACTAGCCTCAACACAGCTCCGGCTGCCGGAGCACAGGCTACGGTTCAAGTGGAGAGCTGAGCTCCTACGGCTGGAGTTTGACTGAGAATCCTCACCATTCCACCTGAGAAGTTGGGACAGCAAGAAGGGATCCTGACCCTCAGAGAACTTGGTTGCTCCAAGGAGATTCCCCAATGAAGGAGCACCCCCAAGGCTGCCGAGGAGGAATATCTTCTGATTTCATGACAGTATAGACTTCTAGAATTCCCCAGACAGGATATTCAGTTATAGAACCCCTGCAAACTCATGAGCTGAACTTAAACTATCATCTCCTCCACTCCTTAGTCTGAGCTATTAACTGCTATCTCATACCATGCATAAGGAGTTAAATTTTCTTCCTAGCTGTCTTTCAACTCTTGGGCTACTCTGAATGGCTACATTTGGTGAAGAAGAATAAAGAGGACTCAAACCATTGTGGTCCTCTATCATTTACATCTGAGAACATTGATAAATCAAGAGTCAAACTCTTCTCACTGTGGATAATGATGCTTAGTTATTTAGATCAGCGTTTCTCAACCTCAGCAACTTTAGCAGTTTGGACTTCAACTCCCAGAATTCTTCAGCCAGCATACTGGCTGTGAAATTCTGGGAACTGAAATCCAGACAGTTTAAATTGCTGAGGTTGAGACATGCTGGCCTAGACGTTTGGTAGAAGCTATGATGATCAAGCTCATCATATAAATGATATCAAGATGCATTTGACCTTAGTCATCTTCTGCTCACCCTTACCTGTAAAAGGTCACGTTCATTTGGGACTCCAGACTATGAAGTTGAAAGAATGTTTTAAGTTGGAGTAGGCAGTTTTCTTGAACAGGGAGACACACTTCAAATTTTGACAGCAGTTACACGCTGCTTTATAAAAGCTGAGAGGCTGACTGGGAGGCTTGCTTGGTTACAAGAATGACATCCATAAAGGGGAAAACAGTCACTAGGAACTGTGACTGCAAACTCTCAGTCTGCAACATGTTTAACCTAGTTATGGCATAACCCACAAGGATAGGTTCAGGAACTGAAATCTAAACTTATCAAATGGGCTGATTTTACAAAATATGCTAAGCTTGCATAAAGAAAGAGTTAATGCCAACCAAGCTTTGTATGTTGCAGGAATTCAGCCACTAGTCTTTAACTGCCTGATTAAGTATCTTGTGTGAATATAGCCTTTGACCTTTTCCTGCATTTGTGGGCACATTTTCAAGCAAAGCTCTGGGTTACAACTACCACCCATCCATTTTTATTTTCCTGGAATGTCTCTATGAATACCTCATAGGTTATATGAGGCCTAGAGGTATTCATTATTGGACACCAGCAATTTTCCCTAAATTTGTCTTATTAAATAATGTCTCATTTAATTGTAATTAAATAATAAGCTATATTTTGCTCTTTTTTTTTTAACCAGAGGGCAGCAAGTCTGGCAATAAATTTTGTTTGTGGGCACCCTGTCAGGTATTCTTGGTTTAAAGTTACTTTTACCCATTAGTTTGATAACATGAAAGCTGTTGGTATATCACTTCTTGCTCTTTTGGCTAAAATCAAAGACTCATTGAAAGAAAGATTGGAAAAGACCACGAAGATCATTCCTGATTGCAGGAAAAGAATGGAAGCTGAGGATCAAAATACAAATTATGTCTGAGAAGATACTTCTGCTGATTTCCTGATCTTATAACTCACCAACAACATTAAATACAGCCTCAAGATATGACTGGGAAACAATCTTGGTGTATGGGAGAGTCAATATCTCTCTCCCCCCCCCCCAGCACTTACAGACCTGGGCCACTTATCTGTTTTACTTAATTTGATTCCTAAGCTATTATTTTTTTCATGGAACGCCATAATTCTACATTCTACAAATTTCCCACTATAGTTGTAAGTACTTTGGCTCTGAGATAATCCAAAGTTATTCCTGGCCCAAAGAGATGCAGGTCCTTGATAGCCCCATAATTATGTAAACAATAGTATCCAATTTTAAAATGATTGGGTGTTTCAGCAAAAGGGACAGATTCTTTTTGAAAACTACATAGAAGTAAACTGGTCTCTTTGAAACTCTTATCTGGATAGCACAGAGATGTCTGCAAGGTGGAATCAAAAAAGTCAAGAGGATGACCATGACAACACGATCAAAGCCCCACTTGTTTTATGTGTGTTATATGCATGACATACAGCATGTAAAAAAAAAGGCAGAGGGTTTTACAGATGGCTACATCATGGGATCCTTTTAGTTTAGTCTCCACACCTTTTCCCAAGACAAAATGCCGGAAGCACATGTTGACAAAAGAACAGCAATGTTATATCGGCTTGATCAGTTCTTGCTGAAACTTTCCATGCATGCTGTTGAGAAATCTGTTCATTTCACCTTGTTTGTACTACTCACAAGCATTGACACCATGACTATGTTCCTTTTGTGAAATCTGTTTGGAAATACAGAATAATAGAGTTGGAAGGGACTTTGGAAGTCTTCTAGTTCAACCCCCTGCTCAAGGAGGAAACCTTTTTCTATTTCAGACAAATGGTTGACCAATCCCTTCTTAAAAATCTCCAGTGACTCTTGCACTTCATTAAAGTTGAAGTTAATTCCCACAAAAGATTCTTACAAAGACTCTGATTATCACCCTAAAGATATTTGTGAGAGAAGAGATGTCATGGTGTATTGAAACTTGCCTGTAGTTTCTTCCCCTCTGTTTCCAAAGGATGTTGCAACCTTTGCTGTTCAACCAGTTTGGTGCTCTCAGGGGTGTAGCCCTGCTGCCTGTGGTCATCACATCCTCTGAGGGTGAGGTGATCATCTATGATGCCCTCACAGCAGTTGGACTAGAAGCAAGCCCTGGAGCAGGACAGTCCTATCTGAATTGCAAAGAAGGGTGTGGGAAGGGAAGAATGCATTATATTAGGTGGAGACTAAGACAGTAATTCTTCACTTTGAGAGTTCTAAAGACAAACACTAGGGTAATAGATGCTAAGCATGAATTAAGGAGAACCAAGTAACCTTGGGACCATGAAGATCACTAAGTGACACTGGGCTAGTTGCACCCATTCCAATCTACCTCAAAAAGTTATTGTGGGAAAATTTATTTGTGAATAGCCTTGTGCTCCTACAGAAAGGTGAGAAAATCCTCCTTGCTACAGTTTGTAGCAGAAGCACAGTTTGCAGAGAGAATTGATATTGATGACCACTAAGATATGATAATTGACTGGAATCTCTTTAACCAGAAGCAGTGGATCCTTTAATGTCATCAATGCAAGACTTCCTTCTAGATTGTCCTGAAGGATTTGGATGATCACTGATGGAAATAGACAGTGAGCGAGAAAGAATGTTGGGTTAGACTTGCTAAACAATTTCTATGCTCTTAGTAAGAATGAACTGTTTGGATCAGCCTACAAAGATTTCAACAAAGAACGAGGTGGAGAAACCTTCTGTTCTGACCCTTTGCTTCTTATCTCATGCTGTATCTTCCTTTTCTGGCTGGGATTTATTGGTGAGTCAGGATCGGAGAAACTTGCTTCTGCTGGGATAACAACCCCTCTTTGAAGAAGAGGAGGAGGAGGAGGAGAAGAATCCTGGGGAACAGGTTTGAGCCTCCCTGTCTGTTCAGACTGGATGGCTTCTGTAAAACTCCACCCATCACCGCAGCCTATAACTTCCCCAAATTTGCCACCCACATTTCAGAATTATTGCACTGTCTCTTGTTGTAGTCCTCCAGTTTGGGGGTTTTTAAATAAATTTTTGCCTTCTTAGCTGTAGCCGCTCCAAGAGGCAGGAGAAGAACAACCATGGCTTCCATGGGGATGCAAGTCTTGGGAATTGCCTTGTCGGTGATCGGCTGGCTAGGTACCATCCTTTGTTGTGGGTTGCCGATGTGGAGGGTGACAGCCTTTATGGGCAACAATATTGTGGTGGCCCAAATTATTTGGGAGGGCCTATGGATGGACTGTGTGGTCCAGAGCACGGGACAGATGCAATGCAAGGTCTACGAGTCTATGTTGGCACTGGCACAGGACATGCAAGCTGCTCGGGCTCTGGTAGTCATTGCCATTGTGCTGGCCATCATTGGCATCTTCTTCTCCATCATTGGAGGAAAGTGTACTAACTGTGTGGAAGATGAAGCTACAAAAGCCAAGGTGATGATCTTTTCTGGAATTATTTTCCTCATCTCCAGCATCATGCTTCTGATTCCACTCTGCTGGACGGCAAACAACATCATACGGGACTTCTACAGCCCCATGGTCCCAGAGAGCCGAAAGCGGGAGTTGGGGGCTTCTCTCTATATTGGCTGGGCCTCCTGTGGCCTGCTGTTCATTGGAGGAGCACTACTGTGTTGCAACTGCCCCCCCAAACATGAGAAGCCCTATTCGACAAAATACACAGCAGCTCAATCGGTGCCAGCCAGCAACTATGTCTAAGCCTTTTTTTCCTCCCCCATCTGTCTTGGGGACTTTGTATCATGGAGGAGACAGTTAGGGACTAATGGACTTCAGTGTGAGGAGGGACCCTCCTTTTCCCTCCTTTGGACTCGGCGTAGCAGCAGGAAACCTGGCATACTTCATCCAGATTCGGAAAGCAAGGATTAGTTTCTTGCATTCACCTGTTTGAACAAACATCTCTCAAGAACCAGAGTGACAGCTGTTCCTATCCAAACTGTACTGAAAACTGGCTTCTGTGAGACTAATGGAAGACTAGTCACCTTCAAACTCACCAAGATCTTAGCTAGCTCAGCTCAACTGAAGAGTTGGAGAATAATTGCTGACGTGGAGGCCCACATGGAATGCAGCAGCAACAGGGAAGCTTGGAGTGGGGTGGGAGCTTGCTGGACTTCCGGACACGTTTGAAATTTGGCTAGAAGAATTTGATGGTGGACATAGACCTGGTGTATAATAGTGGCAAGAACAGTCATTGGTGGAGGTGGAGAGCATGGGTGTAAGTCCCCTCTAATTGCTGGCTGTCTCTTCGTATTTGGAAATCTGGGTGGTATAGAGTCTTAATGTCCTTCAAGTTTGGTTTCTGGCTCTCTTTCCATAACTCTGTTTTCCATTATTTGCAATCACTCTTGTGGGTGTTTTGGTACCTGCTGAAATAGGAAGCTCTCTGGGAAGGTCCCCATTCGCTTACCTTCCTAAAACTGAGCATGCTACTTATACAGTAAAGTGATAGGATCAAATTGCTATAAACTATTTAAAAAGGACGCAATGATTAAGCAGGACTACGTCTAGGTTTGTGGGTTGTGGAGGTCTAGGAAGAGGAAGCTCAAACTGTGGAATAATAAGTTTCTGGGCTGTCAGACAATGAGTGGAGAAAGGAGAAATAGAAGATCTTCAGAGATGTGATAGGAAATTTGAATTCTGCAATACAGGGAAGAGATTGAATAACAACAATGTACCTTTTTAATGTCTTGCATGATTTAATTTAAACTCAGAGTTAAACCAGTTTTGAATGCCTGAATGCAGTTGTAAATCTATGTGAGGGAGGGATTATTAAAAAAAACAAACATTTTGAGACTGACTACCAAGATGGTATTTCTGTTCATGTATAAAATACTGTTTAAATTATGTTGAAATTGCACTGAGTGTCTCCAATTCCAATTGGCAATTTGGGAATGATGGACTGATGTTAAACAGAACCAAGTGTATTAAAAATGATGTATTTCCACCTTTCTTCCATTCAGGGCTGGATTTTTAGCAGACTCTTTGGAAGGTTAACCTCAACTAATTTTGAACAGCAGGGCTCTATCCAGGTGCTTATCAAATAAAGAAAAAAATGTCTATGGGCATAGACAGAAGTCAGGTTTTATTATTGTTCTTATTATTTAATCGAGTGTCAGACTATCATTAGAATGAGTTACTCTCCAAAATAAGATTTTGTCAAGGTTTCCAGATGAGTGTGTAGCTCTCCTTTGACAAATGCATTATTTGCAGAGCCCAGAGGTGTTACAAACTTGTTCCTTCCTTGCAGAGATGCTGAAGGAAGAAAGGAAAGTCAATTCTTACATTATTAGAACTGTTTTTTCATATTTTATTTGTGAGATGTTATTGTTTGTCAATTATTTTGAGCTTGTGTAAAAGTAGCCTATAAATATTTTAATTATAAGCACAAAAAACACCCTTGGAGTTTTTCATGTGTGCCTTTCTTGTCTTTCCTTGAACTTAATGTATCTATACAGTACAGTGCACATTTATTTTGCACCTGTTCTTTCTTATCATTCAGGGACATTTTCCTGTGCATTTGGTTAGTGAAATTATCAGATGCTTGGTTCTTGTGGCTGAAACATTGGGTTGTTAATGGAGAAGGAGGGGAATCATCTGTTCTGTCAGCTGATTATTTTTTTTTACTACTGTTCATTACTGATTCCTTTGAAATGGATTTCTGCGGGGTGATAAGTTGCCTGAATGGTAAGTAAAAATAAACTGGCTATGGTGCTTAAAGCTGTTTGCTGGATCAGAGAAAAGATCTACTGATTCCACCACACTGGTTCCCTATTGGGCCAGTCAGAATCTTGCACAGGAACTCCAAAGCAGATCATGAGCACAACCGCATTTCCCAACAAGAACTCTCCACCACTCATAATTTAGAACTGATTACCTCTACAACCAGATGTTCTTTTTTGATATCTTGGTTAACAGCCACTGATAACTTCATCCTCCCATTGGTCTTTTGATAATTTCTCTTTATAAAACTTGAAAATCAAGGTAACCAAGATTCAGGCTCCAAAATTCCAGATCTCATGATTTGGAGAAACAAGCTGTCATCTAGTGGTCTCTCCAGATTTTTGTAAATCAGATCCGATGGCCACTATTTCTAGTAGAAATGAGATCCATACACAATTTATGTATGATGTACAATAAGTTGTCCAGCTAGGAATTGATTGTCAATCACTTTCTATCATGCTATCTGTCCATCTACAGTTAAGAGAAGAATTGTACACATTAGATCAGTTTGCACAACATGCTAGATAAACTAAAATAGGAAAGGCAATTTGTTATTAAATATGGTATGGGGCAGTTATTCATTACTTTAATGTATTGTATAAACCAGAGCACCAAATTAAAACATAAAATGCCTGTGTTGAAATGTATCATGCTATATTTTCAATAGTAATTGTGTTTTATTAAGTTGGGTTAGGTGTATTATCTGGCTAATTAACTCAAAGGGACTTACTTCCAGATAAACATGTCTAGACTTTCGGTTTGGGGGTGATTCACACTACATGTTTAATCCAACCAGTCAAAGATTGCAAACCATGGGTGTCTAACATTTCTACTTTCCTGGACCATTTTGAATGAAAAGGAATTGTATTGGGCTGCATATAAATATATATATAATATAGTTTTATAATATAAAATCACATTATAATGTTAAACATTCACAACCATATGAGGCTACATTACTAGCAGTCCAGGGCTGCATGTGGCCCGTGGGCTGTGGGTTGGACACTCTTTGTAGATCAGGGGTGTCAAACTGCCAGCCTGTGGGCCAGATGCGTCATGCCAAAACTGTACCCACCCCATTGCCAGCAATGGAAAAAAAGTCACAATACGTCGCGACACGTCACGTGACGTTGCGAGTTTGACACCCCCGTTGTAGACTATCTTTGCATCATATGCGAAGCTTGCTTAGTTTAAAGCAAGCTTAGTATCCTTGATGGGTTAGCAATTTGTACAAACCCAGCCTCTTTGGCTAGTTTATAGCCAGAATTAATTAAGTTAAGCATATTGTGAAAACACAGTCACTGTTTTGCTACAAAACTCCAAATGCTAATCAGTATACTGTGCCTTAAGATGAGGTGAGTCATTGTATTCTGAAGTTATGGCTACAGCAGAGGGAGAAACTATTTGGAATTTGAAAACTGAGGAGAATAATTAATTGGTTGTTAAAAATACTTATGAATGCCATGGCACGTATTTCTGGGCAGCATACTAATTTTAAAATATATTTACATACCAAAACAATAATATCAAATAGTAAAATAGTAAAAAAATATTTAAAAAAAGAGTAGCAAAGCATATAAGATGATACAACAATGGTCTATACCTTGGGACAGCTCCGAACATTCTGAGGGAAAAGTGGTTGGGAGTTCTAAAAATCTTTTAGTCTTAGCACGTCTGGATGGTTCTAATCCAGGGACATTGGCATGTCTACACTCCAAAGTGTGTTTGAACACAGAGAGAAAACCCACAAAACTGAGCTCCAAAATGAAGTGGGAGGTCTTTTCACCTCAGTAATGGAGGTGGAAGGCTGGGATGAGGAGAGCATACCTGCCCCGGGATTTTCTTCATAACGCACACCAGAGAAATCTGTAGCTCAGATTATGAATGGGAAACAAGCCAGGCAGGGCGGGTGACTTTTCCCCCCCTTCTGGCTGCAGGAGCATCACAACATTGAAGGTGTTGGGTAAGAAAACATCTCCATCATAGTATGGAGCTGCTGAAAAGGGAGACATAGCAGCTGGGCGGGTGGGGCCACTGGAAAAACAGGCTTCTGATTTCCTGGTCAGTGTTTACATAGCATCCCAGAGCCAAACACTAAACAAGAAGCAAATTAACCAGCTCAATTACCTCATTCCACACACACACACCCGTCTGCATCCCGAAATGTTGCATTGAATTAATCTTAATGGAAGATCATCTAGACAGAGATAGTTAAGTTCTACCCAGTTCTGCACTTTCTGCACCGAGTCTTGTTTTGGGGTAAAAGAGGGAGCTTGTCCAATGTGTTAGCAAACTATTGAATGGGAGTTAATATAAGTTGCCTACTGTATTTGACCTCCTGCCCTAGAGATATACTGCTCTGCACCCACAAGATCTTCTGGATACCTGTGATTAGTTATTTTATTATTTTATATGTCATTTTATTCCATATTTTTGTTACATGGGTATTTGTACTGTAAGGACAACTTTATTCCTTACTGACTGCTTTTGAAGGGGACAGGAAAGTAGACGTGAGGCCAGCATTTTATTACAAGACTGATTCCCCCCCCCCAAGATGAACCTGCCTCTCCTTCATTTTCTCAGCAAGAGGGAGGCTTTGGGGGGAGGTTGAGTAAGATTTGATGGATTGATAGAGTGGGAGAAAAAAGCAGGCACTGCCAGGATGGGGGCCATAATGGTGCATTAGATATAGGGATGAGGGGAGCTTGGATTGGTCCTGCATATGCTGTGGATGCCCCTGGAGGCTACACAAAACAGTACAGTTAATCCTTGACTTACAAACACAACTGGGATCAGAATTCCTGTTGCTAAGCAAGGCGATTAAGTGAGTCACACCTTATTTTATGAACTTTTTTCGTTGCAGTTGTTAAGTGAATCACTGCAGTTAAGACAATTACATAGTCATTGAGCAAATCCAGCTTCCCCCATTGACTTTGCTTGTTGGAAGCTGGCTGGGAAGGTCACAAATTTCAATCACATGACCTGGGATGCTGAAGCCCACTTTGTTGTCAAGTTGCCAAGTTTGGAAAAAAAAGGAAACACTGGAAAGAGAAGGAGGCAAGGGGAAATTGGAGTGAGCAGGTGTAGTTTCTATTCAATAGAGCCTATTGAAAGCCCTGCTCTACAGTATTAGTGAAGTTTAGAAAGCTTAGCCAGATGAGAGGGAGAAGGAATCAGAAGGCGTCTGATGTATTGGGGAGTATGTGTGAGAGGATTTTTTCTTTCTTTCAGGTTTTTCTTGAAAGAGAGGAATGAGTAACTGGAGTGAGTTAATCTTGCCCGCTGGGAGCATAAAGACAGGAGAAAGGCAGTGGTGGGATTCAGGCAGTTCGCACCACTTCGGCAGAACCGGTAGCTAATTTTTTGTTGCCCAGGCCCAGAATGGACTTCCGAAAGCAGCATCCACACAAAGAACCGGTTGTTCACATATTTGAATCCCACCACTGGAGAAAGGTCTGGGGAGATTTTTGAATGAGCAAGTAAAGTGTGTGTGATGGGGTGGGTGGGGGATGGGGGGATCGGTTCCCCGGGCGTGGGGTAAGCTTTGAGGCTTTACTACCCCTCTGCATCATAACCAACCGTAGGAACAAGTTATTTGTATTTTGTTTTTCCAGTTTGTTTGTTTGTTTGCACAATGTCCTAAAGTTTATAATCAAATTCATAGTGGCCCAGCAACTCCAAAAGATAGAAAAATCCAGGTTCCGACTGTACATCCATCTATAATCAATGTTGTAGAGTTGCCTTGCATTATGGGCACTCTTGATAAAACCTGGCTCAATAAGTGCTCTACTTGAATTACAAAAAAGAAAGGTTTTAGGATCTCGTCCTTTGTTCAGGTCAATTTCACTTTCTCAGAGACTTCAAAACTGTTGAATGTATATGCAGAAAAGGAATTCTCTGAAAATGTATCTTGATTCATGTATCTGTAAATATTAGCTCTTTGAACAGAGGAATGTGTACTTTCCCTCCCCATCCTTGTATATGACCAGGATCCTTTTTGTGGGTTACCCAAGTATCTCCTAGTTAATTGGTGTTGCTTTCACCCTAATCAATCAGGGTTCTGTTTCCAGCAGGTGGGAGCGTGATGGCAGCCCTGGCCCTGCAGCTGATTGGGCTGGCACTATCTATCCTGGGCTGGCTGGGCTCTATTTTGGCCTGTGCTTTACCCATGTGGAAGGTGACAGCTTTCATTGGATCCAACATCATTGTGGCACAGGTCTTCTGGGAGGGGCTGTGGATGAACTGTGTTTATGAAAGCACTGGTCAGATGCAATGTAAGGTCTATGACTCACTACTTGACCTACCAGCAGACCTACAAACTGCCCGTGCCTTGGCGGTGGTCTCCATCGCCATGTCTTTCCTGGCTCTCCTTATTGCCGTCTCTGGAGCAAGTTGCACCCGCTTCATAGAAGACCCATGTACCAAGGCCAAAGTTTTGATGATAGCTGGTGTGGTGTTCATCCTAGCTGGAGTGGCGCTCCTCTTTCCTGTCTCCTGGTCAGCAAGGAACATTGTGAGCAACTTCTATAACCCACTTGTTCCCGAGGCCCTGAAGAGAGAGCTGGGTATTTCACTTTACATAGGTTGGGCAGCTAGTGCCTTCCTGATCCTTGGTGGAGGCACATTCTGTTGCTTCGTTCCTCCAAAGGAGGACAATAAATCCTATCCAATGAAATACTGGGCAGGAAGACACCCTTCCTCGAGCAGCTATGCTCGCAAAGACTATGTGTGACCCTGCTGGAAAAGCTACCCCCAGACACACCTTACTTCAAGCCTTGAGAAAGAAGGATCGGCTGGCGAAAAGAACTCACCTGATGCAATAATGCCACAGAATATAAATCTTGCGATGCCAAACGCCTGTCAGGCCTGTCTACATGGAGAACACATTGACATGACATATGACACCAAGAGAAAGTTCACTCTAGCCATTTGTAAGATTTTTATTTGACAAAGAAGCATTATTTTTTTGTGATATGTGACAGTTTGCTCAAGTGAGTGCTAAAAGCTGTGGTTTGATGACATGCCAAGAATTGTATCAGAAAGATGAGTTAACTCCGGCTTTGGCAACATTTTTTTGGTCCAGTAGGCATAAATTTAAGAGCGTGAGGTAACGTCCACCAGCCATTTTCCTTGTTGTGAGATGGGGAAGAGACTTGAGGAGGAGGGAGTTTTGATGGATGTCTAGACTGGGGGATTTAGCTATCAGTCAAAAAATGTTCCTAATTTTACACAAATGTTTTGCATGAGTGAGGTCAAAATAAACCTAATAGCTGAAAGGGGGGGGACATTTTGAAGTTGGGAGGGGCAGATAGAGAGGTATTCTACTTGGTCACATAGTTCCCCTCATCTCTTTGTTCAGTTTTAGATGGGCTTCTTTGAAGAAGCACTCAACCCGCTCCTAACCCCACCTAACCAATGTGATGTTGAAGAGACATTGAAAATCTAGCCAATTTTTAGAACTGCCAACCATCTCCCAATAGCTGATATAGGATCACACGTTCAAAATCAGCCCTCCAAAGTGTGCAAAAGTAAGAACCTCATTTGAAATAACTGGAATTACTTCTGGCCCAAACTGGAAAATAGCACCAGTGACCTGTAGGGAAAGGGCATGCTCAAAGCAGCCCCTTAGGGGTCACCTGATTGTGCCAATAGCAAAATGGTTAGTGAAGCAAAGCAGATCGTACCTACAAGTAGTCCTCAATTTACAACCATTGGTTTAGCAATTGTGTTAAAAGAAAGGGATTTACAAGCAGTTCTCACAATTATGATTGTCGCAGCCGCCCTGCAGTCACTTGATCAAAATTCAGGCACTGGCATTTATGCAGTTGCAGCATCCCAGGGGCACGTGATCACCTTTTGCAACCTTTTGCAAGGGAGTTTCTGGCAAGCAAAGTCAACAGGGAAGCCAGATTCGCTTAAAGTCTGCAGCAAATAAGAGCATGAAAGTGAGTTTGACTTATTTTACAGCTGACTCACTCAGCAATGGAAGTTCTGGCTCCAACTGGGATCATACATTGAGGATTACCTGTATCAAAATAGCCACAGGTTGCTGCCTGACTAAGAGGAAAAGCAGTACTTAAACATAGGGACAGCTAAAAGCAAATTTAAAGCTGCTCCAGGTATGGTTTGGGGAATGAGTTGAAGACAATATCGGGAGGTTATGGCAGAAAAAAGGGGTTGTTGGGATATATTTGCCCCACAGGTTAGATGCAGGTAGAAAATGACCTCACTATGGAAAAAGCTGCTCAAGTGTAAAAAAAAAAAATCTAGTGGAGAAAGGATGATATTGAAAAATGTTATTGGATCAGATCAAAGGTCTATTTATCTATGGCAGGATAGTATCTGTTTTCCTTTAAAACAAATATGACTTATCAAATAATTTGTTGTGAGAGCAACCCATCCACCCAATTCAGAATCTCCCATCCTAGTCATCCTTCTGACCTGCTCTTCTTGTATACTTCGCTTCAAATCTTTCTTCTGATCAGGAGTTGGTGTTTTGCAGACGTCCCCTTATTGTCAGAATCCAACAAGATTTGCATAAAACCTGTTTCTTTGCCTCCTCAGTTAGGTTCGCTGTGCATCAAAGGGACGTGTGATCTACCTTGTGCACTTTGATATTTTAAAACAGTTACGAATGGAAAAGAATAAGCGGAAGTTTAAATGCCTCATAAAGTAGGCACAAACTGAAGCTAGAATGACGGTTACTTTTTAAATGAAACCAACGTTGAAGTAATATTGTCTCAAGAGGAGGAAATCGTTTCTAGAGGGGAGTTCAACTGGCTAAGAACTTCCTTAAAGGAATTTTCATCCAGTTGCACAAGCAATTCTAATTGTGTGAGAAAGGCTATATTTATCCAGACCTTCGTTAAAAGTGTGCATCCATTGTTCTGTGGAAGTCAAGTTATGTTGGCAGAAAGCAGGACATCTGTACTGTACATAAGGGGGTGTACCTCTATGAGACTGAAAGCCACCCTTGGCCTGTAAGCAGAATGTGCAGGAAGGGAAGGAATGCATGCCGAAACATGGGGAAGGCCAGGACAAAAATTAAATTAGATTGAATGTTAATTTAAAAAGTGATTAAACAAATTGCACTTTCCTTGTATTTAATGCTCTCTCCATTCCCATCGTATTGGCAACAACTTGAAGTTTGCAGTGCCTTAAATTTGTATATTAGACTCTGTTCGCCAAACATTTTGATTGCAGTTACTGAATTGACCCATTTTCTGAAATCTGTACCTAAGAAAATTCTCATAGTTTTAACCGGGTTAAATGATGCATCATAGGGCAAAACCTTTTGAACCAAAGGCACCTCAAATGGAGTAACTTACAGAATGCATCCGAAATCTGGGATCCATGACATCCGTGGAACTAAAATTTGGCAAATTTTATAAAACGTTTTGTGACATAAAAACGTCATAAAGCATTTTAGCACACAATACAAAATGTCATAAACATTCTTCTGTGGTCCACTTTGGATGCTTGGCTATAGCACAGTTAACATGGAATACTTTCAAGGCAAATACAGCTCGACTGACAACAGTTCATTTAGTGACGTTCAAAGTTACAACAGCATTGAAAGAGTGACTTGAGACTGGTCATGTGATCAAAATTCAGACGCTTGGCAACTGACTTATGTTTATGACGGTTGCAGTGTCCCTGGGTCATGTGATCCCCTTTTGCAAACTTCTGACCAGCAAAGTTAATGGGGAAGCCAGATTCACTGAACAACCGTGTTTGTAAATTAACAACTGCAGTGATAGACTTAACAAATGTGGCAAGAAAGGTCGTAAAATGGGGCAAAATTCACTTAACAATTGTCTTGCTTAGCAACAGAAATTTGGGGCTCAATTATGGTCGTAAATCGAGGATTACCTGTACATCTTTACCCTGATTTTTTAAATACTTTTCCAGTACACTAGAAACTTGGCCATTATTCAAGGCATTGAGGAATCTGATGAGGAAATTTCTTTGAAGTGATGACCCAATGGGTCACAGCATGACTAGTGGTACTACATGATGAATCAGAAATTACTAGATAGGTAGAATGATTCACACAAAATGCTACCTTCTAAAACAGGGGTCCTCAACCCCCGGGCCGCAGCCCACTACCCGACTGCAGCCTGTTCGAAACTATGAGCTCCATTTGTGTGAGTGGCAGGCACGTGCCCCACCCCATACAAATGGAGCTGCACGTGCTTGCATGCACGCCTGCTATTCATACAGAACCATTCCCTCCTTCCCCGCCAGGCCAAGCCAGAAAGGGGACTGCTTCTCTTAAAGACTCCCAAACCTAAGGTTAACTTGAGCCAACTTTGCCCAAGTGTGCAACTGCATGAATGCAGCTGGCATTAACTGGGTTGCACCTTTTGTGTGAACAAGGCTGTAGATATATCCATCTAAACCTCCATGATTAGTTTGATGGTCCATTGTCCACAAGTCCAAACTTTTTATTGAAGGCAGCTCAGTGCTTGAGCCATCTTTTCCTTCTCCTATTGGTCTGCCTCCCCATAAATTATTTTGCCTCCTGCAGGGAGAAACCTGCCTGGCAGCTTGGAGCTCTCCACATTTCAAAGATAGCGAAACCATTTTTGACAAACACTCTCAATTTTCATAGTCCTTGTTACAACTTGTTTGGTGGGGAGGGGACACTCCAAACCACATTTATTTGTGAATCATGTTTTCCATTCCACCTATGATGATGATGATGATCTCCATTGCAAAAATCATACAGGTAGTCTTCGATTTACGACCCCAAAATTTATGTTGCTAAGCAAGACACTTATTGAATGAGTTGTACCCCATTTTATGGCCATTTTGCTACAGTTTTTATGCAAATCACTGCAGTTAAGTGAATCATGCAGTGATTAAGCAAATCTGGCATCCCCCACTGACTTTGCCTGTCGGAAGCCAGCTGGGAAGGTTACAAGTGGTGATCCCAAGATCCCAGGACAATTCCACTGTCATAAATACATGTCAATTGTCAAATGCCCAAATTTTGATTACATAGCCACAGGGATGCTACAATGGTGTTAAATTTGAAAACTGGTCATAAGTAACTTTTTTTCAGTGCCATTGTAACTTTGAACGGTCATTAAACTAATGGTTGTAAGTAAAGGGCTAACTCTACTACTATTACTACAGTACTATACAACTGTTCTGTCCCAGCCTACATGAGTCCTTGTTAAGCTCACAAGGAGAAACCCCTCTTCCAAGAAGCAGGCTGAAACCGCAGCAAAAAACCAATCCCCTTTTATTCTCACAGACCTGAGTCAATGTCCAAGGCAAACACAGTTCACAGAAACTCAATCCTCAACATGAACAGTTGGCTTTGATAACTAGCACCTCCCATACCTTCCCTTTTATTAGGCAGCTAAGGCGTGGCTTCCTAATGCCTTCTCCTTTGCCTTTGGAGTCGCCCCATTGCATTCCTCTGTCCTACTCTCTTTTCTTCCCATTTTCATGCATCCTGGATACCTCCCAGCTGTGATTCATCACTGTCCAACTGAGACTCTCAGCACAGCTGTGTCTCAGCCTGAGTGCGAGTAGAGGGGTCAGGCTCCTTGTCAGACTGTAAGTCTTGGAGCTCCTCAGAGCCTTCCTCTGTCTCTGATGTCACTCCAGGCCACTCCTCCTCCTCTGATTCCTCAGACTCAGCTGCTGGGTCCACTGGCTGGCGAGGAATCACAACAACAACATTGGTCTCCAACCTTTCCAGCTTGGTAGACCAGCGGAGGTGGTGGCAACGGCATTGGGGAGAGAGGGGACTTTCACAAATGTAGCTTTGCATGTGTGCACACATGCACCCATTTACCACTTCTGTGGCCCAGTTCCAAATGGGCCACAGCCCAACAGTGGGCCGTGGCCTAAGGGTTGGGGACCCCTGCTCTATTACTACTCTTGAGAAATGAAAGACCTCCTTCAAATGATGCTGCCAAATTGGGGGCATCTGTGTTTAAATGAATGAAGGCAAATATACGTGTCCCAGGATAATGTTGCAGGATCCAATCTGGGTCAGTCACTGGGACCAGAAGTTTAGTCTTCTGAGCTTTTGGACTCATGCTGGAGTCCATCTTCAGGGAACTTCCCTCTAGCAGAGTGTGTGCTGTTCTGTGTGTGGTATTTATAGTGAGGGTGAAGGTTCGTTCTCTGAGCTTGTGGGTTGGTTTCTGAACATTTCGTTACCAGGCTAGGTAACATCTTCAACAGAGTTTTTATTTATAGTGTCTGTTGTAAGTGGCTTTTTAGATGTTGATTGGGGTGTGTTGATGGCTGGCTTTTAAGTCATTAGCTTGTGCTGTCCTTTGTTTCTGCTGCCCAGCCCTTGCCTTTTAAGTCCTTGATAGGCTGGTGGTGTTTAAAGATGTTTTCATTCCCTGAAATTTTGTTTTCATGTTCACTCATCCCCATCCACATATCTTTTGTGGAAGGAGCAGAGATGTTAAACCATTCAGAGCAACTTCACATCCCTGGATCCCTTTCAAAGATGGGAATAATGACATTCAAGGGAGTTGCAAGGTGTAGTCTACAGGTACGCAGCCTAAGCCCTGTGTGGTTCCCAAAAGGCTCCAGACCTCCTCCCAGGGCCACAGTGCAATTGTAATTTTTAGTGAGACAGAGGATGGAAATTATTAACTATGTGGAGAGTATTCACCATAGCAGCATTTAATTGATTTAACCTCATTTGAATTTAAATTGTTCAGTCCCTACGTGCTTCTTTGTCCTGGCCTCGCCCACTTCTATGAATATGGCCCCTGGAACGCCTCTCAAAGGAATGTGTCCAAACCACTCATTCCAGTTGAGCTGTGAATATAAGCACTCAGCAGGCTGAAAAGGTCTAGGCCAGCATCCTGCTTCCAGCGGTGACAAGGATGGCCATCTTCTTTCCTTGGAACTCCAGCAAATGACGTTAAAAAGCAGACTGTTTCTCAACAGGGAGATTCCATAGAGTTCTAATTGCTAGGTGTTACTCATCACATGCATTTCTTCTTCTTCCAAGTCCTCTTTAAGGCCATCCTAGCATTGGCCATCATTGCCACTAGCATTTTTGGCCCCAAAGAAATATAAAATGTTTTTGGAACCTGATTGTATCTAGCACTCTCTGTCCTGCACACACTGCTGATTGATTCCCATGAACAAATTGATTTGTTACCGCTTTTTGTGCATTATTTTATATGTCTCTCCTCTGTTTTCCCTGCCTTACCTTCCTGCATAAACAAACATTTTACCCAAAACCTTGGTATTTTCCGGTTCTGACTGATTTTATCTGCCATTTATAGACCACATGTCTGGAGAGAGAATTATTGACTTAGAGGGCATATAAAAGGAAAAGGAAGGCATTTGGAGATTCTGATTTCTTCTTTGGAATTCCCTTCATCCTCTCAGGAATTTTCATGAGCTTTCGGGTATCTGCAAAGGTTCAATGCACAAGCAGCCATATTCCTCATGCTGCCCTTTCCCTACCCAGACCTTTGAGAAATGATGAGCTAAAAGCACTGTAATTCTCAGCTCAGAGAACAAAAGGCTGTGCTGGCTGGAATTTACAATGGGGTTAGTCTCCTGGGTCAGGAGAGTGATTGGTGGGGGGAGATAGCCATGAAGCAACACACACACTTTCTTAGACGATGCACTGTGTTACAGTATTGCAAATATTTGGCAGTGTTGACTACTAAGATGAAGGAAGTTTACATTCAGAAATAAAAACTCCACGAAGACTTCACAAGTGAAGACTGTTGGAAGAGTGGAAGCTGGGAACATTTTATGCACAAACATGAAATTATGGAAGAATCTAAATTGGTCTGGAACATATTGAATATTGAGGGCAGCTCCTCAAGTGGTAAAGAGAAAATACTCTGCAACCAACCCATGGCCCAGCCTGCTTTATTACCGCTTCACATTTTGTTTTTAAAAACTACAGATCTTGAAGCTAGTTAGGGTGAGGCTAAGCCTTTCATGAGGAGGCTCCAGAGTTTGCCTAGAAGGGTCTTCCAACATGAAGAGGAATGAAGAGTTTAAACCAGACTTTTTATTTTTTTTTGATATATGTAGACCACGCCAGAGATATAGCCCGACCCCTGATCGGATTCCTGATGTGATGTTGCTCTCTCCCATTTTTCAACTTCCTGCATCCCAACCTTTTCCCACAATCCTTGCTGCTCCAGGTCATTCAGCAACTGCTGCAATTCCATGTTGTATTGTAAGTTGCTTGAGTTGCTTCGTGTGGTCAGGCACACATAGCCACCTGTTGTGCAAGATCACAACATTTCAGTTTAAACCGTTACGAAAGTTTTGATAATCCTAGAAACCAGATAAAGTTAAAATCTTCTTTGCACCGAGTTTGACTCCTGGAGCAGGTCACAATATGGAAGAAATTTGTAAAAAAATTAAAAATAAAATAAAGACAGCAACCATAACCATATAATTTGGGCTGTCATGTCAACTGTTTTAACCTGTTCCTTACAGGTTAAAAGCTTGAACCTGCTTAACTTTAAAACCCAGAAAAGGTCAACCACAGAATGCCTCTGTGGCAGAAAATCCAGAAAATCCTAGTCCTTTTTAAAGAGATGCAACTGTTATTAGATGCACTAATATTATCGTACAGGAATATTCTGCCCCTTACAATCAGGTAATGAAATGAAAATAAAAGAAAGAGGAGGACAAGAAGACAAGTCTCCCTGTTACTGATGAAACTGAATGGGTGAGTTTCCATAAATGCTAGACTAAGATAAAATGCAGTTGAGCTATAACTCAGTTATAACTTAGACTGTGGGAACTAAGCTATTACATGAAACTATAGCATGGATTTATTTGTGCAGGCAATAATAGCATATTCTCTGGATACAGGACTTAGCATTGTTAATCCAGGTTTAGGTTAAGTATGTTGTGTGAACCTATCCAATCTCACCCTGTTCACCAAGTAACTTAGAGGGCAGAGATGACCAAAAAGCAAGTTTGTGGCAAGGTTTACTCATCACATCTTCACACAGGAGAGAGAAATTAAATAACAAATAAAACCCCGGCCAAATGCATGTAAGGAGATAAAAAAAGAAGAGGCAAGCGATCACTAAAACTAAATTTCTGAGAAAGAACATGTCTGATGCCAGGATACACACATAGGTGTGCGCACACACACACACACACACACAAATATAGGCAATCTGAAGAAAGTTCTGTGGTTCTACAAGACTCTGGTCAAAATACATTTTAAATGGTATTTCTTTCAGCCCTGCACACTCCTGAGAGCTACATGAAATGCAAGGATCTGGCTCCCTGGTCTGTGTGTGAATTGTTGCAAGATAGCAGCACCATCTGGTGGTTATGAGTTTTTCATCAAAGCCAGTCCGACATCCTGTGTCCAAAAAGGGCTGATTTAGTCCCTTTGGGAAACTCTGAAGGCATTAAAACCCCAAAAGGTTTCTCTTATGGTTGGTTACCAGCTATTTAAAAGTCAACAGCCTCTGAATGTGGGGTTTAGCATTTAGCAATCCCAGTTACATTTCTTTCCCATCTCCAATCCATGCATTTTGTCTGACCTCTGTTTAAAAAGATACACAACTATCACTGCATCTTGCCATAGGGCATTTCAGAAATTACTTGTACTTTGTGTGAAAGTCCTTTCTCTTTCATCACCCAGTTTCACAAGATCAGCCTGAGATCCAGTTGCTTATATAATTTCTGGAGAAGATTTTCAGGTGCCTTGGAGGAAGCTCAAGCTGAGGTGCATTGCACTGCATCCTTCTTAACCTGCACTGGGCCAGTTCTAATGAAAAGCATCACAAATCCAAGCACCATAATCTCTGGGAATGAATCAGTGTCAATTGGGTGAGTCAAAAAAACAAGAGGACAGGGATAGCTTTGCAGTCCAAGCCCCGCCCCTTTTGTACTGTATAAGAGGAGAAGTTGTGATCCAACCCTGCAGCCCCCACCTTGCCCATTTTAATCCCCCAAATGCCAAAGGGGATTCAATTATTGTATCTAAGACCTCAGAACAGTCTCATACTAAATCAGATCACCAACCCACCTAGCTTGGAATTATTAACTGCCATAACTGATAGCTGCCTCCTAGATTTGGATCTTTTCCAAATCTATAACTCCTGCATCACAAGCTATGGTCCTTTCCACCTCCAGATATCCATCTATGTTCGCAGCCTGATTTTAATACCTGATGAAGCAAATATTCACCAACAATGCTTCTAGTCCCTAAAGTGTCATAAATCCATAAAGCATTAAGCAACATTATATGTACAAAGAACTTCCATTCTTTATGGTTTCAGCAATGAAAAATCCAGTTAAAGTGCCACCGATTACAGATAATCATACACTACCAACTCATCTAATCTGCTTGACCCATGACCTAATTGCATATTTCGATATGCCCTTGAAAAAGAAATTGGTAAACATAGCACTTTCCTTGTTATCTACAAAACTTTCGTCTCAATTAACGGTTGTTGCTACCTTTGATAAGAATGATTCTGCCCTCATCAAGAGCATCTGGTTAGGATAATTTTGTCCATAATATATACTGTAAGATAATATCTTACTCCTGTCTGCATTCACGGGACTGAATCTTCTTTGGAAGATTGGAGAAGTATTTGCTTCATTCATGATGCTTCAGACATATTTTCAATTATGTATTTTCAATTATACTGGCCAAAATCAGTCTGGTCTCATTTCTGCTTGCATCGATTTCCTCATCAATGCTTGCTCTTAAAACTACTGTATAGGCTTTTAAATAAAAGCCTGGATTGATCTGAAGCATTTGGCAGACTTCAGCATTCTGGTCAGCCGAGAGCTGCAGCATAGAACAAAAGCCATTTGCGGGGGGGGGGGGGGGAAGGAAATGTCCTTCTCTCCACCAATGGCTAGAGGGAACTGGGGTTCAACCTAACAAATCCAAGATTTCCAGTTACTTGATGTTCCTCAGGCAGTCGTGATTGTATTTCCTTGCAAGGTGTTTAGTGTGTAATTTCCTTGCCTAATCCACAAAATTTTATGGGGAATGCAGAAAATAGGATATAATCTTCCTGTATTTTTTTCCACCATTTTTTTTCTTGCCAGAGCATATCTATTAAGGAAGGTAAGATGGAACAGTTGCACAATGCTGGTCAGTGCTCAAACCCACTGACTTTCCCTGCCACATAACTGCTTATTGCACCTCACCTACTATAACCCTAGATCACTGTTTTTCAAACCTAGCAACTTTAAGATGCACAGACTTCAACGCCCAGATTTCCCCCAGTCTGAAAAACAGTGAACTAGATCAGGGTTCCCCAATCTTGGGAACTTTAAGATGCCTGGACTTCAACTCCCAGAATTCCCCAGCCGGCCATAATTACGGAATGCTAAAATTACTTTATAATTAATGAACTAATTAACTATTTTGAAAGGCCAGATCTCAGCAATGCTTGATATTCTCACAGGGGAATAGGTAAAATATTATGAAATTTGGCAACTTCATTCAATGTAAATAATTTTTCATTTTCATGGTTTCACATTCATCAACACAATATAACGTGGTGATCAGACACTGGAAAAAGTTGCTCATAAGTCCTCTGAAAGTACATCTGAGTCTCTTTTGCAAATGCTTACCTGGTTTGGTGACCAGAAGGAGCTGAGGAATGACACAAGAGGGTACTTGTCCCTCACTGAGTGCACCCACAATCACAGTAGTATCGTAGGAGTCTGCAGAGAAGATGAAGGAGTAACAGGTAGCGTCAAGGAAGGAGATTGGCATTGTTCTCTAGAAATCTCCATGCATGCCAGCACATTCCAGTTTCTTCCCTTTCTTTAATCTATTCAGTCCATTGCCAAGGATAACTGTTCCCGTTGTTACCTTCAGGAGCTGGTAAGGTTTCCTGGCCTAGCAAGCACAACTTCAAATCCTCGTACAGTCCTTTGTGCCGTGCATGTTCCAACATCTCCTGGCTGCCATCCAGGCCATGGAAATGGCGAAAACCTTTTGCCTGAAGCTTAGAACACAAAGCATAAGTCACAGGAGCCCAGCCAGAAAGACAGTCGGTTCTTGCTTGCCAACAGTTAAATGAATGCTGCAAACCAACTGGGATCTGGCCAAGGCCGAATCAGTAAGGGGACCTTCAGTGGCAACGAAGTGCTGCCATGATCATCCATGGAAGTGATGAAATGTGGATGATGATGATTCTTATGTATCTGAATGCCATGCTGCATTGCCGATATGGAAAGACAAAATGGAATCATGACACATTTCATCATTTACTTATTTAAAACATTTATATAGCTGCCAATCTTCTAGGCAGCTCCCAATTTTGGGATCCCAGCAGTTAACTGGGGATGCCAGTGGCTGGCACTGTCACTTCTTGTTCTTATGCCAGGAAACAAGAGTGCTCTTTAATGCTTAAATGCTTTTGTGCATGAGCATACATAATTGAGTCATTTGCATGATGATGTCACAGTGTAGGTGTCATTATTTTGGTGTCATTGTAGCTTGTAATAGATGACTATGTTTTGATGAGCTCCAAATGGTGCTCTTAATTCATCCAATTATTTTAAAACTATTTACCAAAACCAAGGGAGCCTGAAACAGACTTGGAAGAGGCATTCTCTTCTTTATGTGTGTCACACGAAAGGGAAGGCATCTTCTAGGATGGTGCCTACAGGGTAATAAGAATGCAATCTGACAAAGTACAGCTATTCTTTTCATACCTATTTATTAATAAATTATTGCTATTAATATAACTACTCCTAATTTAATGAACCCTGGGCTTATTAAAGCATCTAGTATTTGAAAGCAGAACACACTCATCAGGAAGCATTACTTCTGCAAAAGAGAACACATTTTTTAAAAGTTTCCTCCAAATACTATGTTCTCTATATGTTTTGAACTACTTCATCCACTCTTAGCAGCATATCCAAGTATCTCTTAGAAACCACAATGACAGCAAAATAATGTCATCATGCCAATGACAGAAATTACATCAAAGTATTATTCACACAATGATGTCAAGACATGCATTGTTACCTCTCCCTATGTACCCTCACAGTTACAGAAATGAATGATGATGCTCTTGTTTGTACACCAGGGCTTCTGCTGGGCTCCAAATCGTTCAAAACCTCTTAAAAACGTCACCTGCTACATGCAAATTCTGTATTAGCACCAGCCTTAAACACCATTTGAAAACAGTGCCAATGATAGCAACCCTCTCATTAACTTTAGTTCAAGGGGGAAAAAATTGAATGAATAGGGTACCCCAAATGGCAATGGCACAAAACAAAAAGAGGGTTGAAGGCCTGCACGTCATCTGTAGGGCAGCATTAAGAAAACAGAGCTTCCCTCAGTGATGAGTTTGCAAATCACATCAGAGGGACAATTATAAGATGATAGTTTTCAAAACCTGGTGGCGCCAGCCTAATGTCTCTGGCTAAAGCACAACTCTGATCTCAGTTACCTCCTGGGCCACAAGTCCTGTGCCACAGGCCACATCCAGCACTAATGCATTCTCTGGTGAACCCTGGAAAACGGAGGCCAAGAAAGCAGCGGCCAGACTGGGGGCTTGGTATTGCAACACTGCCACATCCTACAAGAGAAAAGAGTTCTAATCACTCCAAGAATGGGGGAGCTCCAAGGTTTGCATGTTTATCTATAGGGTGGTTAAAATAATTGCATCTAATAAAAGGCAGTATCAGCTCCTGAAAGTAAGGCTAAGATTTGCTGAAGGCCATCTGTAGAATTTCATGACTGTGCAAAGAATTAAACTTTGTTCTTTGTCCAAACAGAACATTCTGCAGTTTTGTTTTGTGGCTCCATTCCAGATGTGCTGGACCAGTCTTATTTCTCTGAGGCCCAGAGACCCTTGTCTAGGAAGATAACCTGAAACTTGGCCAGGCTTGGTTAGTACCTGGATGAGAGAGTACTAAGAAGTCTCTGAGCTGTGGTGCTTAAGAATTTGGAATATAACTAGTCCTTGAGTTATGATCAGTCACTAATCGACTGTTCAAAGTTACAACAGACCTCCACAGGGCTACTTGTGCCTGGTTTCAAAGTTCTGACAAGCCACTATCTCCTGCAGTCATGTGACTGCATGTCAGCTGCTCAGTAACTGGTCTGCATTTACAGACATTTGCAGCATCCCGCTGTCGGGTGCCAGCATTTTACAATGTTTTTTTTTTATATCATAAACAGCCCATAGCAATCAATGGGTTTGCTTTACAACAGTGATGTTCACTTTACAAATAGAGTGTTTGCTTAATGACTGCTGCAAAAAAGATTGTAAAATTGGATTGGACATGTGGGTGACCCACCTTATGACTGTAATGGTCAGGCTCCATTATGGTCGTAAGTCAAGGATTAGAGAGACTGACTTCACATCTACCCTCAACCATGGAAACTGATGATGTGACTTTGGGCCAATAAACCTTGGAGCCTATCCTATCTCACCAAAATAAAATAAAGGGAGATCCCCACAGAAGCTGCGTGGAACTCTTAGAGATAAGCCAGGACATAAGTACAGGATGCTTCAAAAACATTCTTTTGGTATGTTTCAAATTATGGAGAGTAAATTATTCTGATAAGATTAATATTTTTATTGCTTAATAATTTTTATTAGTGCAGATCAGCTACTTGTTTATAGATTAACCTTTGGTTGATTTAGGAATGGGGTGGGGCTAGATCTCCTAAAGACATATTTTTGATCCACTACACTGTGGAAAAGGGATACGTAACTCTTAATACTTATATTAAGAATTCAGAAATACTCTGCCAATTCAGTCTAACTACAGGTAGTCCTCCACTTACGACAATTGAGCCCCACATTTCTGTTGCTAAGCAAAACTGTTAAGTGAATTTTGGTTCCTTTCTTGCTACAGTTGTTAAATGAAACACTGCAGTTGTTAAGTTACTAACATGGTTTTTAAGTGAATCTGGCTTTCCCATTGACTTTGCCTGTAAGAAGTTTGCATGTCCCTGGGACACTGCAACGGTCATAGGTATGAGTCAGTTGCCAAGCATCTTAATTTTGGGGATGCTGCAATGGTTGTGTGAAGAACGGTCATAAGCCAATTTTTTCAGGGCTTGTAATTTTGAACAATCACTAATGAACTGTTGTGAACTATCTGTATTAAAGCATCTCTGCGCTTCAGGCTCGGTGTAGGTATTACCGTAGGAAAGCCAAGAATTTCTCAAATCCCTTCCTTTTATTTAGCCCTCACCAGTCCCCAGCCAAGCCACTGGCGCGGAAGACAACAGTGGAATCCCGTCAACAGTTGATACCAGGGTAAACGCGGTCTGCACATGCTCAGGAGGATAAACGCTTTAAGCAGTACCACTGATGATGTTACCTAGTTTGGGCAATGAAACGTCTGTAAGAAAACAAGCTCATATGAGAGCACCCAGGATCCCTTTTCAACCCTGAACAAGTACATTCTCCTTTATAAGCACTCCTTCCGGATGCAGGAAGCGAGATTCTCCCCTAAGCGAGGTGGGGAGGGAAAAGGAGCGGCACCTGGTCATAGTCTTTGGCCCAGCCGTTATAGAAGCGCAGCTGCTGCTGCAGATCTCTTTGGTGATGCACTTCGGCCACGCGGCGCTGCACTTCGGCCAGGGGACGGCTGGAGAGATCGGCCATGGCTATCTGGAAGCAGACGCTGCCTTTCCTCCCATTGGCCCACCCGCTTATGACGCTACCTCCCTCGGCGCTGCCTGAGCGCTTTTCCTGGCGGTGGGGGTGCTCTCTTTTGGGGAACTGCTCGACAGAAGCGCTATCTGGGAAAATAGGCTACTCCTCCTGTTTCTTCAACAAGACAAAGGGCGAGGGATCGGTAGCTGCTGCGGGTGGAATCTGGGAACTCCCAGGAAGGGCAGACAAGTTGGCTCCAGAGAGGTGTTGTTGTTTTTTTTTTTTAAAAAAGTAGATTACAAGGATGTTATTAAGGAGACAAAGAAACAATATCTAAAGGGCAGGTGTGGATTGCTTCTTTTGTATAAACATGCCCTATTGCTGCCTTTATCAGTCCGGAAGCTGGGGAAGTATTAAGTACAGGCCAAGGGAAACTAGAAGTTCAAGGACACTCAATAATTATTCCTTGGATTTATTTTATTTTTTTTTAAAAAAACAAGACCTCAACTTTAAGTTATCTTGGTGGGAGCAGCAAGCAAGGACTTGCTCTGAGATACCCAAACAGGATATTCCAGCCCAATTCAGTTTATGGTCTCTCTGTGTCCAGGATCTGTGGCTCAGGAGGTTTTAACGCAATGTTTTGCCACCTCAGCAACTTTAAGATGTGCAGACTTCAGCTCCCAGAATTATCCGGTCACCCATGCTGGCTGGGCAATTCTGTGAGTTGAAGTCGAACACCTTAAAAGTTGCTGAATTGAGGAACACTCTTCAAAATAAACAATCCCTTTAACCTTGCATGTGACATCCTTTGAGGCAGAGACATACAGTGTTTTGAAGAAGACAGAGGGCTTTAGATTTACCGTAGTGGAGCTCCTTTATTGGAACTATTAAAAGCTCTTGAAAAAGTAATATTTTCCTGAGCCTGTGCAGTTTAGTACAAGCTTAGTTCTACTTTCAGGGAGGAGAAGCAAAGAATGCTGCCAGAGTCCCTGCTTATTCTTCTCAAGGTTGAACATGGCATGCTCTTTCAGGCTTCAATTGATCAATTAGAGCTGGAAAGGACCTTGGAGGTCTTCTAGTCCAACCCCTTGCTCAAGCGGGAGGCCCTATACAATTTCAGACAAGTGACTGTCCAGTCTCTTCTTAAAAACCTCTAGTAATAAAGCACCCACAACCTCTAAAGGCAAGCTGTCCCACTGGTTAACTGTCCTCACTGTTAGGAAGTTTCTTCTTAATTCCAGGTTGCTTTGCTCCTTGATTAATTTCTATCTATTGTTTTTTGTTCTGCCCTCTGGTGCTTTGGAAAAAAAGTTGAACCCCTTCTCTTTGTTGCAGCCTCTCAAATGCTGGAATACTGCTATCATGTCACACACACACACACACACACACACACACACACACACACACACACCCCAGTCCTTCTTTTCTCTAGACTAGCCAAATCCAAATTCTACAGCTGTTCTTCATATGTTTTAGTTTCCAGGCCTTTAATCATCTTTGCACTTTTTCTGAAGTCTCAACATCTTTTTTGTAATGTGACCAAAACTGGATGCAGTATTCCAGGTGTGGCCTTACTAAGGCTTTATAAAGCAGTACTAATATCATGTGATTTTAATTCTATGCCTCTGTTTATACATTAGGTTTTTTTGGCTGCTACCACAAACTGTTGGCTCATTTTTAAGTGACCATCCACTAAAACTCCAAGGTCCCTCTCTCAGTTACCATTTTTGAGCCAGTTTTCTCCTAATTTGTACTTGTACCTTTTGATTTTGCCTGCCTAAATGTAAAACCTTGCTTTTTTCCACATTAAATTTCATTTTGTTGGATAGGGCCCATTGTTCAAATCTGTCAAGATCTTTTTGGATCTTGAACTTGTCTTTATAGTCTTCATAGCGTTCATAGGATTGAGTTTCTAATCTGATAGTCCTCATTACATGTATCAGTTTCTTTGCCTTTGTTAAGTGTGTGGCCAGAACTTTTATTGGTCCTTGATCAGCTGAGTGCACAGCATGCTAATAAAAGGCTACCAAGATGGATTTAATCCTGACAACTGCATGGAAAAAAGTTCTCCATCATGATCAAATTTTATCAATGTCTAGCTTTTCCAAAGAGACCTGAGTAAGCTTTTTGATGCTCCCCTCCCTTTCTCTGTTGCTGTCCCCTTACATTTAACTGAACTTTGCCAAGCATAATTACCAATCATAATACGTTTCCTTGAATTCCACAAAATGCTGATCTAGGCAACCCTGGGGATTGAAAGTTTGTGGTTCAGAATACTGTGCAATCTCAGCCATTGTGTGAAATAGTAATATAACTTCATTTTGCAAATAGTGGTTGTGGTGTATTAACCTGGGTATAAGGTATAGTGCACAGGTGCCAAACTCGCGATGTCACGTGACATGTCGCAACATATCGTGACTTTTTCCCCATTGCCGGCAATAGGGTGAGCACAGTTTTGATGTGACGCATCCACCCCACAGGCCGGCAGTTTGACACCCCTGGTATAGTGCATTGTGTAAAGCCAGCCCTAGTGTATGGTCACAGCTGGGCCAACTTTCATGATTTCACACGAGGGCCTTCTGCAATGACATCACTGCTATGTCACAAAGCCAAGATATTTAACTGGTATCTGCTTAACAGTTGCTTGAGAGTGGAGCAGAAGGAAAGTTGTGGACAAGTCTTTGTCTCTTTGAAAATTCTCAGGACCTTGGAACTGTATGTGTCCAGATAGGGAAATCTGATTCTGCTCTTTCCCAAGTGCAGAGAGTCAAAGGGGGACTGCTCTAAGGGCCGTCCCTCTTCCCACCTGTGAAGAAATAGTTCCAAAGGAAAAATTATGAACAGGGAAAAAGAAAGCAGGATGACTAAGGAATCTGTTCATAATGAATTATAAAAATTTCGACACAAGGGACTTAACAGAAGGCAGCAAAGAAACAGTCAAATGCTTGATGATCAGGATTAAAATAGATGTCCAGTTCATGGATTTGGATTTATTGACAGGAATGGATGAGAGGGAATATTCCAATGATTACGTGTGAAAGTATTCCAGTGAAAAATTATAAAAGGGAGCTAGAAGAGAAAGTGACAGCCTCCCAGCTGTGGAGGGCTGCTTACAAGCTGAAATGATTGAACAGATTCAATGGGTTCACTTGGGCAAACACAGCCACCGTTTTTATGTATATAATTCAATCAAATTAAAGATTTTGTGGCAGTTAAGGCATGTTAAGCTTGATTAATTTTGTGGCTTAGCATGTTGCATATTGTAGCTTGTTTGGTTCACTTATGTGTACCTGTATAATATTTACTTTATAACTAACTAAATCAGAGGTCTTCAAACTTGGCCCTTTTATGACTTATGGACTTCAACTCCCAGAATTCCTCAGCCAGGCACGCTGGCTGAGGAATTCTAGGAGTTGAAGTCCACAAGTCATAAAAGGGCCAAGTTTGAAGACCCCTGAACTAAATGTTAGTTTAGTCACTGTTAATGTGTTTTGATTTATAGTTTAGCATGTTTAGTAGCTATTTTTAAAATATTTAGCCATTATTTTTTTATTTAAGCAATTTTACAGGATTGCTAAGGGGAGGAAAGAGTAAAAGTTTAGTTCATACACTAAGCAGGATATCAAAAAGAACAACAGGATATATAGTTTAGTACAGCATTATTATTTTTTTGCTTAAAAGGAAGAAATTGATAGTATGAGGCTGTCTTCATTCACAGATCTCTGAAGAGTGTTGTGTGTTGTGCCATCTCTTGCCAAACAGTGCTTCCCCATGGAACCCAAGAGACACCCTTCTAGCAAATTTCCTGAGTCAGGATCCTCGCTTCCAACTATGGGGAAAAACCTACAGGGCGCAGTTCGAGGGGGGCTGAGAACCCTGTACCTGCACCTTCTCTCACTGCAAGAGGGGATTCTGAATTGGTATTTATGTCTGAAGCAGATTCAGTGGGACCTCCTGTGCTGGATCCATGCTTCCTTGGAGCTAACCATAGACTTCTTCTTCTGTTGGGCACAAAATGTCCTCCTAGCTTCCATGATGCTCCTGCTGTTAGCATGGCAAATTCACAGTGGAGCCAAGGAATATGGCTGGAGATCATTCCTACAAAGGCTGGTGAGAGACACAGAGTGATAAAGTCCTTCTGATAGGGCAGAGGTGTCAAACTCAGTTTCATTGAGGGCCACATCAGCATTGTGGTGCCCTTAGGGTGGCCAGGTGGCCGTGGCCGGGGTGAGCATGGCCACCTCAATGTTGCTTATGGGGGGCATCTGTAGGGGCTGGGCAGGGTTGGGGGAGATCCAGGGGGTCTCTGGCAGGTGGAGTGGTGGGCAGGAAGCTCGTCCTGTGGGGTGAGGTGAGACGAGGCAGGGGGCAGGGTGGGGGTGCCATTGCCTCGGGGCAAGGTGAGATGGGCTGGGGTGGCTGCTGCCTGACACCATCAGCACCTGCACACAGAGGCCAATGAGCGTATGGAAGCTGATGGTGTCCGTCAGCAGTCACAGCTTGCCAGATCCTCGAATGGCACACTCTGGGGCTCCGCAGCCCACTGCAAATACTGGGCCAGCTCTTCAGCGTCAGGTGGAGTAGGGGAGGGGAAGGTACATGATGCAGACTGCTGGACACACCTACTCCGTCCCATCTGTTTTTGCTTGCGGTTGGAGAGCAGGTTGCTGCTGGTCATCTCGGCCCTGTCGCAGATCTTGCCCTTGGCCTGTGTGTGGAGCTTGTTCCCCTTGCGTACCCGATGCATTTTGGCCCCACCTTGGGCCGCTGCCAGCGGCTCGCTCAGGTCCATTAGGCCACCAGTGCCATCCAGAAGGCCTAGCCTGCCCAGCATAAAGGAGGCAAAATGGCCAGCTAGCAGCTCAAGTAGAGGTGGTAGAGCACGCCTATGCCCAGTAAGCAAAAGGTCACCCTGAGCGGGGAAAGCCGGATCCCCATCGGTGCCATGGCCCCCCAGTCCCAGCTAGGATTGCATGCTTCCTCCCCATCTCTGCTGGGCTTGGGCAGCCATGACGCCGATGGGGATCTGGCTTTCCCCGCTCGGGGTGGTCTTTTGCCTGCTGACCCTGTAGAAACCTCTACTCGGGGTTTCCTAGCCGACCACTTTGCCTCCTTTGTGCTGGCTGGGCCTGCAGCTCTGGGCAGCGGCCTAATGGACCTACACAAGCAGTTGGTGGCCATGGCAGGTACCGAGGTGCACGATGGGAATGCGCTCCACCTGCGGGCCAAGGGCAAGATCCTAAAGGGGGCTAAGGAGATGACCAGTGGTCACCTACTCTCCAACCAAAAAGAGATTGGACAGACTAGTCGTGTCCAGTGGTCCGCATCATGTGCCCCCCCCAACTCTGTGTGCTGCCAGCGCTGCCGCAGCGCTGCTGCTGGAGGACCAGCCCAGTATTCACAGCGGGCTACACAGCCCCTGCTGCTGGATGCCATTGGCCCCTGTGCACTCACTGCCTCCTGTGAGCATGCCTTGGGGTCCGCCGGGCTGGCCAGGGCAGGGACCAGTCCCTTGTCATTTCTGGGGCATCCCTAGGGGCCAAATATTGGCCAATCATGGGTCGGATCCAGCCCATGGGCCTTGTGTTTGACATGTCTGTGATAGGGCACAGAAGCAGGTGATCAAAAGCTGGAAAGTGTGCAGATTTGGGCACACTGTCAAGCCTGATAGTCTTCAATTTACCTTCCCTCCATCAATGTATTGAGTCACTTTCCAAAGCTATTCAAGGGGAGGAAGATTGTCTGAACCCAGATAACGGAGTGCTCTAGGATGAAGGGGGTGCAGAGAGTCCTTGGGCCTTTCCCCTTTCCAAAATTCCACCATTTAAGCCATTCCTTCCACACACCCTGACATGTTCTTGCTTGTTTTTGCTTGCCAGGTCCTGGAAAAGCAGCTTGCCCAGAGGATTTCACTACTGAAAAGCTACTACTGGAATCTGGAGAACCTCCTAATTCACTTAACTTGGACCTCAGTTAGTTGCTTCACCTGGATTGTGTCCTGCATTGTTCAGGCCCTGGAAACCAGCTACAAGCAGGCTGCCCAGATGGCCAGAGACCAGACTGAAGAAGACAAAAAGGAAACAGCAGGACCACTCATGATGACCCCTCATTCAGCTCTTCTCGCAAGGCAGGAATTGCTGATCTAGCTGGCATTCACTAAACATTGCTGGAGGATATCTTAAGAGCATTGTGCTTTTTTTTTTCTGGGGTCAGAGTGAGATAGGATAGGTGGCTTCAGCAGTGTGCATAGTGTGATGCATTTGGGGTTTGATTTCAGTGCCCTAACCTAAAGCATATTTTCCAATTCTTGAATCAGATTTTGGAGAAGGGCACTATCAACTTGTAGCGATGCCTCTTCGAACCTGGCAGACAAACAGTTGACAACCACAATTTTGCTTTTCTCCTTGTTTCCTCTTCCATTGTGCTATTTCCTTTCAGAGTAGGTAACATTATGCAACCCATAGTAAGGGAAGAAGAAATAGTAAGCCAAAGGAATTAAAACCTGTGCTTTGATAGCTGACTTCAGTTTGTACCAATATTGTTCACCAGCAAATCATCCTTCCACTATACTGTATCTCTATATAGCTTCATCCATTGAGTTTTGTTCTTAAACTTTCTCTTCGATCTCTCTGGGGATATCCATTCCAGCTACAACCTTAGTCTTCCCCTACCTCTTGATCCATTCATGTTGCTTTCACAAATTTTCTTAATATGTTTTGTAAATTGATTCTCATTTATAATATCAACACCATGCAGGAATTTCAGGCAATTGATGCATATATTCTTGACTTCTGCCTATAGTTATGAATTCTCATGAAATTTGTTTTCTATTCTAAATCTCGCATTTATCACATGGCTTTGTAGGATTGAAGTATATTGAAAAATATGCTTGTTTTTCTTGCTTTTTAAGTATTTAAAGAAAAAAAGAAGAATTCTAACATGAAGCAAAAATAACTCACAATAGGTTGATACACTCAATCCAAGCTTTTCATGAATTTGGGAAGTAGTGGAGGAGTCCAAATTAATTCTCAAAGATTGGCACACAAGTGCCCTTTTGCCTTACGAAGGGCTAGCAGCTGCCTAAGCCTGACACATTTTGTCAGCAGCAGGAGGAAAAAAAGCAGTGATGCTCAGCTGGGGGCATCAGAGATGGATGGCAGTAGAATGCAAAACAGCCAAAAGAGCAGAGATTGGGGGGGGGGACTTGAAGCAAAGGCAAGTGCAGTAGGACAGGAGAAACAGAAGATCCTCACCCAATGACAGCAACTGGAACTGCCACTGCTAAGGGGTGTGACCAGGAGGATTGGACTAGAAGATCTCCAAGATCCCTTCCAACTCTGTTATTCTGTTGCACAGTCAATGTGGTAGGGTGTTTACGGTACTGGACTGTGAGCAGGGAGACCTAGATTCATAACTCGTTCACAAGCATAGAAGTCATCAAATTATAGTACAGGAAGGAGGAGTCATCAAATCTTGCCCCATGGGTCATTCTACCCATCCTTGAACCAGCAGGAAATTACACTCGTATAAACTTTGCCGTCTCCATTGCCAATCCCTACCCTGACTTTACAGTGTAGCCCCAATTTTGCCTTTACACCATGTGATGCTGTCCTGATTTCAGGGGCTCAGTGTAGGTTAAATAAAGCCATTGGTTAAGCCCTCTGACTTACCTGCCATCCATTCTGGAAGATACCATTTGGTGGGAACTCATCCAATTATAGCACTGTTGTGATTGGTGGATAGGATTGACAGTTGATTAATGGGATTAGCCATTGGTCAAAGGTTGATACTTCCTTAAGCCGTTGAACAAGTATCTAGGGAAAACTTTAATAGAAATGTCCCCTAGTCCACTAATCAACTGGCAGACATGCTTTGGGTGGATTTAGCATTGTTTCGACAGAGTGCTAGACTTGCACTCAGAGCAAGCTTCCCAACAGCTGATTCCACCACTCAGCACTCAAAACAAGTCTTCTCAGCAAATGGCAGAGAACTCCTCCTACATAGGAGTCAGATACCTTTTTTACTATAAAGCTCCCACATCTTGTTGAATAGATGGCTGGCAACCAGAGAAACCTGCCAACACTATGGCAGGAGGTAGCTGTGCTCCATTTTTTCTTCCCCAAAAAGTACCTTGGACTTGAAGAGAGCAAATACACAGAGTACCAGCCGTCATTATTTAACAAGTGACGGGCTTCTTTTGACCCAGAAGCTGACCAGTCTGTGGCACCAACAAAAGGGGGAAAGAAATATGGCAGGTTGTATTTATTCCAAAAAGTACCATCAGTTGCTATCACTTTAACACCACTGCAGCTACATATGGATGGCTTAAGGTTATTTCATATGTGGTCTCATCTTTATATGAGATGACGCCAGAGTCATGGGATGTGGCAGAACAAAACTGTCAGCGGGGACTAGGGGATGTTTATACTGGGGTTAGATGCAAGTGGGGAAAGACCAGGCATCTAAATAAAATGTCATTGGTGGATGAATGACTTTCCTCTGCTTGAAGGCAGGGCTTTTTTTCTCATAGAACGCCCAGAACAGAGTTCTGGCACCTTTTTTTGGATAGAACCTTGTAGGGTAGGCAAGGCAGGTTGTATGAAGTGTGAGTTCCGGCATCTTTTTTTTTTTAAAGAAAAAAAGCACTGCTTGAAGATATTCATTGAAAGAAAGCTGAGCCTTTTCTCAGCAATTTGTTCCACTATCAATCACTTCTAATTCTCAGAAAGTTTTCCTAATATTCATCCAGATTCTTCTTGAAAATTAAGATGATTTTTTAATGTCCTGAATTCTGAGATAAAGGAGAACTGGCTTTAACTTTTTTTTCCTATATGATACCTCTTCAGATACTTGGAGAATACTATGATATCATTTCTCAGGCTTCTCCCAGTTCTCTTGATTTCTTCATAAGCCTTAGTTTTCCATCTTTTGACCATCAACATTGGTTTGCCTGCACGCTTCTTAAAATGTGATGTTCAGAATACTCAAGGTGTGGTCTAATCAGTTCAGTATATGGTACTATTATTTTATTTATTACACTTATTTATATACTACTGTGCCCTAAGACTCTAGTCTAGGTGATTCACAGCTTCATATACAAAAAGTTCTAAAATCAAATAAACTTTAACACATCCCTGAAAGTAATCCCCAATAAAATCAGATAAAATCATAGCAATTCTAGCAGCTGTTGCCACCACAAAACTCAGCCATTAAAGTCCCATTAAAAAAAAAAAAAGGTCTTTACCAAAGTCTAATAGGGAAGCAATTGGTGTATCTCCATGCTGGCTGGGAAATTCTGGGGGCTTACAGAGGGAATTGGTCACCACAGAGAAGGGCTGCCTTCAGGCTCTGGCCCTCTTCATTTCTCAAGAGAGCAGGATCCTGAGCATAGGTAATCTACAGAATTTCACAATTTGGAGAAGATGAATCCTAAAATAACCCAGAGCTGTGTAGTGAGGATATTTTGAATTGTATTCAGAAGCTTCTGGGCAACTAGTGTGATAAAATTATTGATGTTATGCTGTGGCAGCAGGTTTACACCCAGCATTTGCCTGGCTGCTATGTCCTTTGCCAATTAAAGTTTATAAATTGCCTTCAAAGGTAGCTTCACATGGAGTGCATGGCAATGGTCACCTGAGTGGCAGTTGCCAAGGTTTCTTTAACCAGGAAGGGCCGTATCTAATCCATGTCAACTTCCTAGGTTGCATTAATAGAGAGATAGAATCAAGATCATGTGAAGTTCTAGTACTACTTTACAAAGCCTTAGGACAGGAGTCTTCAAACTTGGCCTTTTTATCACTTGTGGACTTCAACTCCCAGAATTCCTCAGCCAGGAATTCTGGGAGTTGAAGTCCACAAGTCAAAAGGGCCACGTTTGACTACCCTTGCCTTAAGAAGACCACTGGATACAGTTCTGGATGCAGTTCTGGTTATCACAATATATAAAAAAGATGTTGAAACTCTGGAAAGAGTACAGGGAAGAGCAACAAGATTGATTAGTGGGCCAAAGGCTAAAACATATGAAGAATGGTTACAGGAATTGGGTATGTCTAGAAGGATTAGGGGAGACATGATAGAAGTGTTCCAGTATTCCAATACAAAGACAAGGGGATCAACCTATTTTGCAAAGCACCAAAAACAAGATGAGAAACAACTAACCAAGAAAATAAGCAACCTAGAAATAAGGAGAAATTTCCTAACAGTGGCAGCAATCAACCAGTGGAACAGCTTGTCTTTAGAAGTTCAGGGTGCTCCATCACTGGGGGCTTTCAAAAAGAGACTGGGTAACCATTTATCTGATATGGTATGGGGCAGGGGTAGGCAACGTTGGCTCTTTTATGACTCGTGGACTTCAACTCCCAGAATTCCTGAGCCAGTTGGCTCAGGAATTCTGGGAGTTGAAGTCCACGAGTCATAAAAGAGCCAACGTTGCCTATTCCTGGATAGGGTGTCCTGCTTGTGCAGGGGGCTGAACTAGATAGGTCCTTCCAACTCTATTATTTTATGTTCTATGTTCTTCCAAGCATTTTGAAAAGTTTGTTTTAGGTGCCAACGCTATTCTGGTATCGTGGTTATCACATGTTTGAGCATATCTTTCCTGTGCTATTTATTAACGTTTTTACTGCTTTTAATTTTTATTTTTCACCTTTGTTGTTGCTAATTTTGCAATCTGTCAAGGCTGTTATACAAGATTAGACGTGTCATAATTATGCACTATCATTGATAACACATGTTCTGCCACTGTGTTTTCTCCAATAGCCCTTCACAAAAAAATCCAGTTTCTTCTAAAGACAGACAATTCCCATTTCGCTCTTTCTGGAATTTGGTTTTTTTTATTTTATTTTCCAGCACATTTTTATGGAGGAATGGTGCTACCTGCTCCACTTTGGAATTAATTTACATTGTTGTCTACCACATTGCTCTTCAAAATCTTTAAAGACCATTCAGAATGTTCTAGAACAGGGGTAGGCAACCTTGGCTCTTTTATGACTTGTGGACTTCAACTCCCAGAATTCCTGAGCCAGCCATGCTCAAGGTTGCCTACCCCTGTATCTAAGTTATGGAGATGTCACTTGATTGCAATTCCAGGAAGCATGGCCAATGATGAAGGATTTCAGGGGAGGAGGCTTTAATTCAGCAACACTACCACTGCCTTGCTCTGTGCTGATGGAGAAAGCTAGTTGTAACCTACTACTGAAACTAGTACTTTCACATGGAAGAGTATCATAAGTGTGACAAACCATGGGACATTCTGGACCCAAGCTCTGCTGCCATTTACAAAAAAAATGGGTTTATATACAGGTAGTCCTTGACTTACAACAGTTCATTTAGTGACCATTCAAAGTTACAACGGCACTGAAAAAAGTGACTTATGACCGTTTTTCACACTTATGGCTGTTGCAGCATCCCCATGGTTACGTGATTTACATTTGGATGCTTGACAACTGACTCACATTTATGACGGTTGCACTGTCCCGAACTGATGTGATCCCCTTTTGCGACCTTTTTTTTTAAAAAAGTATTTTATTAATATTCTATTGTTACAATTCATTAATGTTTAGTGAACAACGTGTTGTCTAGTTGCTTTTTGCTTAGTCATAAAAGTTAAGTTCTTACTCTCTATCTTGTTTTTCCAGCCACTGATAAAATAAGCTCCATGTTTGAAAGTATTCTGTGTCTTCTTTTTCATTGATTCTCAATGTGAGTCTATCCATTTCAGCACAGTCCAGTATTTTCTTAATTATTGCTTCATCAAATGGTGTTGTCTCATGTTTCCAGTGCTGTGCAAATACAATCCTTGCTGCTGTTAATACATCTAATATTAAATATACATTTTGTTTATCATTTTTTTCTGGAATTATGCTTAATAAGAAAATTTCAGGTTTA